TCGCTCGCGGGCGGTATTCGCTTGTCACAAGCGTCCACCGCGCCAGTCTTGCTCGGGGGGCGGTTTCGGCCTGTCACGAGCGTCCCCCGCGCCCGTCTCGCTCGGGGGCGGTTTCGGCGGTTTCCGCTTGTCACGAGCGTCCACCGCGCCAGTCTCGCTCGCGGGCGGTTTCCGAGGCTCGGGGGCGGTTTCGGCCTGTCACGAGCGTCCCCCGCGCCCGTCTTGCTCGGGGGCGGTTTCGGCCTCTCACGAGCGTCCCCCGCGCCGCTTGTCGTCCACCGCGCCAGCTCGGGGGCGGTTTCGGCCTGTCACGAGCGTCCCCCGCGCCCGTCTCGCTCGGGGGCGGTTTCCGCTTGTCACGAGCGTCCCCCGCGCCCCGTCTCGCTCGGGGGCGGTTTTGGCCTGTCACGAGCGTCCCCCGCGCCCGTCTGCTCAGGGGCGGTTTCGGTCTGTCACAAGCGTCCCCCGCGCCCGTCTCGCTCGGGCGGTTTCGGCCTGTCACGAGCGTCCCCCGCGCCCAACTCGCTCGGGGCGGTTTCGGCCTGTCACGAGCGTCCCCCGCGCCCGTCTCGCTCGGGGGCGGTTTCGGCCTGTCACGAGCGTCCCCCGCGCCCGTCTCGCTCGGGGGCGGTTTCCGCCTGTCACGAGCGTCCACCGCGCCAGTCTCGCTCGGGGGCGGTTTCGGCCTGTCACGAGCGTCCCCCGCGCCCGTCTCGCTCGGAGCGGTTTCGGCCTGTCACGACCACTGCGCCAGTCTCGCTCGAGGGCGGTTTCCGCCTGTCACGAGCGTCCACCGCGCCCGTCTCGCTTGGGGGCGGTTTCGGCCTGTCACGAGCGTCCCCCGTGCCCGTCTCGCTCGGGGGCGGTTCGTAGCCCGTGCCCGTCTCGCTCGGGGGCGGTTTCGGCCTGTCACGAGCGTCCCCCGCGCCCGTCTCGCTCGGGGGCGGTTTCCGCTTGTCACGAGCGTCCCCCGCGCCCCGTCTCGCTCGGGGGCGGTTTCGGCCTGCGATTCCGCATGTCACAAGCGTCCCCCGCGCCAGTCTCGCTGGGGGGCGGTTTCCCCCGAGTCTCGCTCGGGGGCGGTTTCGGCCTGTCGTCGCTCGGGGGCGGTTTCGGCCTGTCACGAGTGTCCCCCGCGCCCGTCTCGCTCGTCGGCCTGTCACGATCCCCCGCGCCCGTCTCGCTCGGGGGCGGTTTCGCCCTGTCACGAGCGTCCCCCGCGCCCGTCTCGCTTTCGGCCTGTCACGAGCGTCCCCCGCGCCCGTCTCGCTCGGGGGCGGTTTCCGCTTGTCACGAGCGTCCACCGCGCCAGTCTCGCTCGCGGGCGGTTTCCGCATGTCCCGAGCGTCCACCGTGCCAGTCTCGCTCGGGGGCGGCTTCCGCCTGTCACGAGCGTGCCCCGCGCCCGTCTCGCTCGGGGGCGGTTTCCGCTTGTCACGAGCGTCCACCGCGCCAGTCTCGCGCACCCAGCCAGCCCCACACCGTCCCCCCAGCCAGCCTCGTACGCCCGGTCTGCACCCCCAGCCGGCATCGCACGCCCGGTCTGCAGCACAACGAAATGGAAATCCCTTCTTATCTCCGTCGTCACAGCTTGTATCGCTCCCAGGCACCTTAAGAGAAAACCTAAAGCAGAACCCAAGCATCAGAGATGCTTTTGGGAAAAAGAAGCAGATTGACACAGCCGCCGGCAAATTTCAGCCTCTGGCTCAATACGCCCAGGAGCTGCCTGGCAACTTCGAGCGCCGCTTCGGCACCGTCTTTGAGAAGCCCGCAGCTCAAGCGCCGGCTCGTCTTGGGACTTTTCATGGCTTCCGTTTTGCTCCCAAGGGTATATATACCTCAAAAAGATGTAGGTTTTGGTAGGAGTCTCAATGTATGTCAATGCCCTCAAAGGGGTATCCTCAGAAACAAAGGCCATATGTCCATCGAGCAGAGGGAAATCCTGCAAATTGATTGGAGGGGACGTTGCTCATCAGACGTAGATGTGTCAATGAAGCACTGGCTGCGCGAATCCGAAAGCCGAGAACAAGTCAATGATGGGGACCCCTGACCCCGAGAATGCACATTTCGGGCCCAGTTAAAATGACAGAAAGTCCTGGATTCCTTTCGAATTTGGGCACAGCATGAGCTAAGCATCAGGCAGGAAAGGCTGGCACAATGGCACAAAGGTGGGGGTCTGTCAATGACGCCAATGCCCATGACTGAATAACCACATTCGGGCACTGCTTGTTTGTTGGAGCTCAATTACCCCCTGCGGTACTGCGGATTGTCTCTTTCCGTGCACGATGCGGTTCACGCATCCCATGGTAGCAAGGGGATTCACAAATCATGTGGTTTCTCTCCGATCATTTCCCTGAATCGGCAGGGTTGATGGTGTATGACTTGCAACAAACAGAAAGAAGTCATATACAAGGTAGTCCATCCTCTTGCGCCGGTCTTTACATTAACCTTCCAGACTGCCCAGCATGCTTCCCTCTCGGACTGGGCAGCGTAGAGAAACCGCTGAGGAGTCGCTTGGGTTTGCAGGCGCGGTGGCTTTCGGGGCGGATGCACGTCCGTGATCCAACTGTACGGCAGAGGTTGGAAAAAGTAGGCTGAGGCAATGTGTCGTGTGGGCATGTGATGTGTTTGGTTTGGCTACGGTTTCCCCCCTTTTTGTGCAGGTTGGCGAAACATGGAAAGACACATCCCCACTTAAAGTTGATGGAACGTAGATGAACGGACCTCCAAACCAAAGGGGGATCAGCGGCACGTCGCAGGACCACAGCGATCTGGCAGCCCTGCTCTCCTTCTTCCCGTGCTTTGGCTTTGCGTTTAAGCAAGCCAAGCCATGTGTGGTTCAGGGTCGGGCAAGTGGATGTTGTCCCCAAGAACGGTTGATCAGTCCAAATCCCAATGTTGTTGGTAAACAGCCCAAATGATGACACATGCAGTTCTTAACTCACCGTGATTGTTGAGCATGGCCCGAAATCTAATCAGTTGCTTGTGAAAGAAGCGGGCTCTTCTTTGAGGGCCGGCAGGTTGACAACTTGCTAACCGGCTTTATCAGCACCACTCCTCCGCGTTTTGTTTGAGTACTGTTGAAGCGGATAATGGTTGTTGTGGTTGAGTTGAGACTCGTTCTTTTTCCTTGCTTGGATGGTTGCCTTGTCAACCTGCTGTATACCGCCTAGAGTACATTGGACACTCTATTGAGAGTCACGGCGGCGCTTTCCGACCCCCCTCGCACGGACTTCGCTCTGTGTGTGTGTGTGAGCGTGATGGATCATTTTGGCAGTTTTGATACACTACAGTCACGGCATGTCCGTCAGCAGCTTTGATTTGGCCCGGGCTGGGAGTACAGCCTTGATACCACAGAGAGCCGGCTTTGGAAGGTTGTTTTAGGCTGATCCCTTGATGGGAGCGACGCAGAGTCACGGATGATGAATCCATTGGTACCCTGGTCGCCTGCCCGAGCGGAAACAAAGCAGTCCATCATGTTTGGGGTGGCGTACGCAGAGGGCAATGATTGTTCCTGTGACTTGGCAGTGCTGTTGTTGATTCATGTTCTGGGCGAAGTTGTGTCTTTATGCACAAGCTGCATCAGCTGCATGTCACTGACATTATCTGATCAGATATGATATGAAGGATACCTTGCTTCACTCACTCCCTGAGTTCGTGGGCTCTTTTTAGGGAAGATCATTTCGTGGTAAGAAAAAGAACCGTTTGTTGCTTTCTGGCTAATCCACTGAGGAAGTGAGATCACCTTCGGATTTGTGATTCAATCCCTGTTGGCAAACTCTGGTCCCGTCAGGTGCTTTCTGGTGGACAGGCGCTGACCCCAGACGCCAGGGGTCGGGCATTGCGATTGGGTTCTCCTGCATTTTCCCTCAAGGAAGCCACTGAGAGCATGAATATGTTCTGATGTTTCCACCTCTCCGGCTGATTCTCGGAACTTGACTCATGTCAGCAGTTAACCTGGGCAAATCGCTGGCGAGCGGATATAGGTTTTGTCCCGGTTCTTTGCGGAAGTGCCAGGAATGGAGTACAACAAATGCTGCTCATCTTGCTTACAGCGCCCCCGCCCCCCACGCGCCCTCAGTTGTTTAAGCAACTTTCCACTAAGCTAATTTGCACAGGCCAGCGTGCAAGCGCCAGTTATATGACACGCCCATTAGCGATGGTGATTCCGTGCTTGCAATGTAGAGAACATAGAAACACACTCTGTGAAGATCGTGCGGGATTACGACGTGTGTGAGTACGAGCAAGGATCGCAAAGCCGAAAAGCAGCCCTACAAAGAAGCGGGGCCATTTTAGAGACACTTTATGAAGAACGTGCGCAATTACGAACAAGGATTGCAAAGCCGAAAAAAGGTCCTAAAGAAGCGGGGCCATTAAAAGACACTCTATGAAGAACGTGCGCAAGTACGAACATGGATCGCAAAGAGTGTGCCCAACAGATTCGGGGCGTTGAATCGCAGGGTCTTGCCAAACACAATGTGAGGGTCCAAAGCCGAGCGTATTCTGCACTACAAGGCAATTGAGCGCATGTTTTCCTGCCGAAGCTTCGGTCTTCGCCACTGTTGGCTGCAAGCAAACTGCATGTGTTAGCGGCCGTTCAGGGACAAGCGACAGAATCTCTGTCTGACTTCAGCTGAAACACTAGGAGTTAAGCTGCTTGTTGCATGCTGATATGTGACATCATGCAGTCGAGTGCGCAGCGTTGGTTTCCGTTGGTACAGGCTGGTTAGGAGGCACCATGATACTGGCGATCAGATTTGGACGCCAAGACAAATAGCCCCCTGTGCTACAAGTTCAGCGGTTGTGCGAAGCTGTGCCTGCTTACACTCGTTTGTTTTGCACCGGTTGGCAATAGCAAGAGGAATCAGAAGTTGCTGCCGCACATGCTTATGCATTCCGACTTCTGGTTATTGACCCACATGTCATCCAGTTGGTTCACTTTTTGCCCTTTCCCTTTGTTCCAAACATTGCTCCGCCCGGGAGCCTCCTTTTCGTTAAGATTTGTTTCGTCCTGGGAAATCCGTGAAGGAGCAGCTGACAACCCAACCACGCCCCAGCCACCAACTTCCAGTTCATTATTTTCGCTTGCAACAGCATGGCGAGCTGTCCCCGAAAGGGGGCCAAAAGCCGGGCTACGCAACAGCCGCTGGTTCCATCTGGAGAAAGTGGTCGACGGGTTTCATTGGCCCAGGTCCAACCCCTCAGGCCCCACGGTGGCGCTGCGGCCGGGCAACAAGGCCGCTCGACCCGTGGCTTTCTTTGCCCCTTGAATCTGCGTGGCCTTTTTTTTCGCCCCTCGAGGCAATGCTGCCGCTGTGGTTGTGGTCTGTGCGGTTCTTCTGTACCCGTTTCAGGTTCAAAGAGAATTCCAGAAGAATCTCACAGTTTGCGGGGGTAACTCTAGGAAGACTACTTCCTTTTGGTCAAGCCCCCTGTTAATTCCAGTGTTGGCATGATACAGTGGGAAGGTATTTCGAAGGGTCCCCATATTCTGGCAAACACTGACAAGAAGGTTCATCCGCAAACCGGGGTCATCGTTGACTGTTTCCAGGGCTCGTGGGATTGTTTCCCCTCAGCCTACCACAGGGGGTGACTTGACAATGGCAAAGTAGTCAAGCCAGACAATGTTTGTTTTTTGATGCGTGTTTGTTCGGATTTCAGCCGAGATCTTGTGCGTCTAGAGGCGGTTGTGCTTTGTCTATGGGCTAATTTGGGTGTGAGTGTGGGTTGCAGGTTGGTCTTGGCGGGTCACCGGTAGAACCTGGGCAGCCCACCCTAAATTCCACACAAAGACCAGCCCCGCCCCAAATTTTCGCAAAAGACCAGGGTCACAGGAGCTAGTACTTCTCCAAAGCGACGCAGGGGTCACACTCAAATTGTCCATAGCCAAATTTTCCACCTGCTTCTGGAAATCACAATTTCCCTCAATGCCAGGCACTGGCTCCCAAGGAGTCTGTGGCACGGATGCTGTTCCAAAGGCACGGGTGCGGTGCGGCTCATGTTTCGCAGACTCTCAGACATGGCTTTTGGTGGATCGGCTGGTTTTTGGGGGATGCTCAGCCCCCTATAGATCGTTGGGAGACTAGTTGGTGTTTCAAAGGACCTGCAAAAGGTTGGATGTGTTGCTCGAACATCAGGTGACTTGTCAAATGTGGTTTGCTGTTTGCAGTTGTCAATGTTGCAAGCATGGTTGCTGCACCTTTCCAACATCGGAACCTTCAAAAAGTCTCAGCTTTTATTGTTGGCAAACTTCAAGGTCAAGCGCGCGATGTGCAGCGTCTCTTTTGCCAGTTTGGGTGAGGCACCCACCTGTTACTAGTACATGTTTAAAATGTTGTCTATACACCCACCTGCATTTGAAGCACCTATTTCTAGTAGCGATAGATTCCCTTTAAAAATCAACAGGGGAAGTTAGAAAGTATTCATTTCATGGAGGCCTAGATTTTCCCTGACGGGGTTCATTGTGCGCGTGCTTGGGAATTTCAACTTCAGCCTCCCCACACTCCCCCCGCTCAACCCCGCAGGTCTCGAGATCTTCAGCCAAAGAAGCTGCAGCACATCCTGGAGACATACCAGAAGAAGTCCGAAGAGCCCGTGAAACCCAGCGACGAGAGAGATTGAGGTAGTCCCTGTGGATTCCAGCCAATTGGCAATGGTGTGTGTGTGTACATGTGTGTTTGTTTGGTTTGATTGTGTGTTTGTATGTAGGTAATGTAATGTAATGTAATGTCGTGTAATGTCATGTAGTGTCATGTAGTGTCATGTAATGTCATGTAATGTCATGTAATGTCATGCAATGTCATGTAATGTCATGTAGTGTCATGTAATGTCATGTAATGTCATGTAATGTCATGTAATGTCAAGTAATGTCATGTAATGTCATGTAATGTCATGTAATGTCATGTAATGTAATGATGTATGTATGTTTTGTTTGAAAACCCAACAAGAAGAAGCAAGAGTGCGTGGTTTGCTTTCCTATCTCAGGTTTACGTGAGAAACTTAAGGAGTCCAAGCCAGCAACCTCGAAGCAAACAGAATCTGACCCCAACTTGGCAACCGAAACAGAGTTTCTTAGGGTCGACACTGGGCATAAATACCAAAAACACCTGTAGAGCCAACGCAGAATGATCTTCGTCCTTTCGCCCAAGCCGTGGCTGGAACCGGAACCCGAGAGTTGACCGAGTGATTGGCGCCGAGGACCAAAGCGCGGATTGCAGAGGTGCCGGGGTGCCCCAGGTCAGAAGGTCAAAATGTGACGGCGTAGGGGCTTCAGGTTGTTGCACCAGCAGACCTGAGCCGCAGTTCGGTTGTTCCCCTCGCCACGGAATGTGACTCTGGTCCTGGAACAGCTTTTTGGTCTAAGAGGGTGTGGGTATGCCGTTTTTGCGCTTTTGCACCCCCCCCCCCAAAAAAAAAAGAGGAATGTTGGCTTGGTTTCCCGGTAAAACAGCAAACAAAAGGGTGCCGAGCCGCCAAAAAAAAGAGCACGCCCATGGGCAAGGCGGTCTCGGCTTCTTTTGCTCACGGGCATTGGCCTATGAAAAGCCCAGGACCAAGGCGAAGCGAACCGCCCGAGAGGCGCAGCTGGAGCAGGAGGACGGGTCTCCGGGAGGGGGCAGTGAAGAGGCGGTTCCTTTGTAGTAAACAACGTTTTTTTGCGACGCATATGGCTGTGGTTGTCAAAATCAATGGTACCATTTTGGGGTAGGTGCACCACCCATTTTAGTGTATTCTAGTGGGGATTGGGATGTTCACTACGGGCTTTTGACCCATGGCCATATGATGGGCTTGCAGCATAGGCTTTGAATGATCTTACCAGCACACGTGCAGTACCTGAACACTGTCGATCGTGGAGAATGATAGATTGTGCCCAATGCGGTTGGCATGCAGAAGAACATTAATTTGCGTTGATAATGCTGAGGCCGCTGCTGAGGGTTTTTTTTGAAGGCGACAATCACACGGTCCATCGGATTTCATCATCTCCTAGCAGAACCCATTATCGCTTGCTGTTTCTTGTGATTCACCACAAACATTGACTACAAAGGTAATGATGTACGAGTGTGCTTACTGGCGATCAGCGCATTTTCGCGGCTTCAACCCAGACACGCAAATCCAAGCAAGGCACACTTGAAAGCTACTGAATTTGCACGAGCGCTGTCGCTCACATTCGCTTGCCAGCCTTCAGGCAGGGGCCAAATTCTCGAAGATGCCTTTTGTAGGGTTTCGTTTTGTAGCAACCCAATCAAAAGGAAACGGAAAGACCCTCTTTGGGAACTTCCTGGTTTTTCCCATCGGTAAGGCTGATACTCAGAAACCGAGGATGTACTCCGAGAAGCCTTTTCCTGCCGTATAGCAAGGTTGGCTTCAACGACCATGAAAAACTTCAATCAAACTGCGCAAAAAGAAGGGCCAAATCGGTGGGCGTGAATTGGAAGCAGTTCTTAGACTCAAACCAATTCACAACGTTGAAAAAGCAGACCTTAGTTTACAAGTACATCATCTACAAACCATCCAAAACACACAAACAAATAAGTTTCTGGACCACCAGTCGTGTCTTTTTGGAAATCATGTGCAAAAAAACCATCAAACACACATAAACAAGAGCATTTGTTGGACCACCACGTACAAAGCATTGTAGAACAACCAGCCTGTTTAGACCACAAGTACACATCGATTTCTCTTCACACGGCCATGGGTCAAAATCCAAATCGTACCAGTGCACATCAACCAATCCAACCACGAAAATAGGTTCTAGAATGGGTGAATTCTACCGCAAACTGGGATCCCGTTTAACGGCAAATGACCACAGCCACACGACCTGGGCTCTAGGCCAAGCTGCGGGCGGCGGAGGCGCACTCCGCGGCGGCGCCCAAGTCTTTCCCCGGCCCGAGCCCTCAGCCGATGGCGAAACCGAAGAAAGCCGAGGGACGCAGAACGGTGGAGCCATTGAAAGTGCAACAAACGGGTCTTGGAGTTTTTCACCTCCTTTGCCATCTTGAGAGCTCTTGAAACCCAATTTTTGTTCGGGGTCTGGTGGGCTTCTGAGCCCTTGTCCACTAAAAGTTGTTGTAGCGATCCTTTGACCTCATCTTTTGACTTTGACTATTTGGACCTTTCGGGGTCTTGTCGATTTTGGTCAGAGCAGCAAAAGGTTCACCTTAAATTTCCGGAGTCCTTCAGGCAAATAAGCTGAAATTTATGGAGCAAGGGAAGGGCGGCCGGAAAACAACTCCTGACTGCACGTTTGTGGTTTGGGGGGGCAGGGGTGGTCTGGACATAGCTTGCTGCAAGCTTGGGCCATTTGATGGGTAATTAACGTTGGTGTGACTTTTCATTTACCCAGCATGATCCAAATACCAAAGGGAGGTGTCCTTTTCGAATATTAAGTGATGAGGGAACTGGGAAGGAACCCTTAGAGCAATGGCCAGGAACAAGCTGTGGGCTTGTCTCAAAACAGAAAGCCCGTGCTTGGGCCACTTTGGCATATGTTGGGCCCTAGTTTAGGACACCATCATCTGTTCAGCTAGAGCACGCTGCCTGTCAAAAAGGTTTTAGAATTGGGCCTGTGGCTTTGCCTGTTCTTGGTCAGGATCAGAATCTGGGATGGTTTCTCTTGAGCCTCCAGGGGGTGTTGATGTTTGGTGATTGGTTCCGCCACGGTCCGGAGGAGAAAACAGGGGTCGGAACAAGGAAGGCTGGTGCGTGAAGGCTTCCTGCCTCAACACCTCGGCTTTGCACGGCCATGTTCAGACTTGTTTGTGCCTAAGGATGGCCATAGATCAAGAAATTGGCCAGATCCTGGTCTGCTTTGGGACAACGCGCTGCGCACACCGAGGCATGCCACCCGGGCTTTCAGCCGCGGGGTGGCTCAGAGACTCGAAGGTCTTCGGAGCACCTTGCGTCCTGTTTTGGATGCAAAGCTTCCGAACGCGCCCCAACAAAATGAAATGCGACCCCCAGACATTGGACCCATGTTTCTCAGGTGAACGCCAACTGGTCTTGATTCTTTACCCAAGTTGCTGTGGGAGTTTAGGTCTACCTGCCTTTGTGTTGGCGCTCCGAGCAGCTGTGGGTGTTGCAGATCTCCTCAACAAGGCAAACCGTGTGGCTTGAAAATTCCCGGCCTGGCCTTTCCATTGGCCTTCCAACAGGTGCCACATGGCTGCCTCGCGCATTGTACTTCATGTTGGTTTGTCACTAGAATTGCGGGGGCCCTTTTAGATGTTGGATTGCCAATGTGGAAATTATGTCGGGCTTCACTCGTTTAGACAAGCCCTCGCAAGCCGAGCTGGGGCCACAGTAAGGCTCATGTGCGCCATGGTGGCCATCTATCGGTTGGGTTTTTGACAAACACAATGATTCCTGCTAAGGGATGTCATGCCGCCAACAAAGTGATTCTTCTCCCAACTCTCTCTGCCCCAGTTCTTGCTAGTACTTGTTTGTGCTTCTCCTTGAGAACGCGAGATGTCACCTTGGTTCGGCGCTTCAACCTTTCAGGGTGCTTTCATGTATCTCTGGACATGGGACGGCACAGTCCACGCTTGGATTGGCAGTCATTCCGGGCGTTGATTAGAGCTGTTGTGGGTCCGACCACTGCCATTCTGCTGATGGCAATCGAGGCTGCATGTTTGAGTACAAGTATGCTTGGGGGATGAGTTATAAGTCATGATGTCACCCTGTTGCCCGAGAGGAAAGGCCTTGCGACGGTCCAACAAGTCAGGTATATTCCTCTCTAAATGGTGAGGCTCCTGGTTTCTACTCGAACACATTTAGTCGGGGCTTCCTTCTGAGACTTTCCGCGAGCCGAAGAACTTGTTGCGTTACCTGCAGCCAGGTCGAGCAGCAACCGCTTCAGACTCAGTTGACGGACGGAGGCGGTTTGTTTACCTCATCTTCTCTATTACCGCTGCCGAATTGTCCAATTTTCATTCATGCAAGCAAGCTAGAGGGGCAGAACCGAAACATTTGGAACACGTGTCGACGAGTACTGGGGCAATGATCATTCCGGACACGTGTCCTGAGCATCAAAGTGAGCACGACTTGTGATAGATTTGCAATATCAAGCCCCACTGCATGATGTTGGGCCATCTGTGGAATTTGCCAGAGCCCAATATATCCAACATGCTGATTCAGACGGCAGCGTCTTATGCGGCGGTTCGGCTTGCCGACCTCTATCTTCCCAGCTGGAGTGCCATCACGAGTTTCCCTCGTTCCTTTGGCCATGGCCAGAAACATCAACAAATGAGCCGCAATCAAAACCTGGGTAGATGAGGGTTGGTACGGGACAATCCCAGCCAGAAACAGCTGCGGCCGCCTTTGTATTTCCTCTGGTTCCAGGTCGACCATTTTAGTACCGGGTTTTGATTGTGACTCAAGCGGCAACGCCGTGGCCCGCCATGAGGCCTTCGCAGCTGGGCGGGGCCCTCAGGTTGCGGAGGGGTGCAGGTGGGCGCCTTGTTTTGTTCGAGCGGCCAAGACAAACGAACGAGCAAAACAAAGGCACAAGAGGATCAATTGACTTATTCGACATATTGAACTTCGGGACAAACCAGCGAACAACAACAAACGCAGGAAGCAAGCAATCCAGCCAGCCAGCAAGCACATAAGTAAGCAACCAAACAGGCAGGCAGTTAGTCAATCAGTCAGGCAGTTAGTCAATCAGTCAGTGAGTGAGTCACTGAGTCACTGAGTCAGTGAGTCGGTCGGTCGGTCAGTCAGTCTGTTTGTTTGTTTGCCTGTCAGTCAGCTGGTCAGTCAAGCAACCAAGCAACCGACCAACCACCTAATCAATCATTCAATCATAGTAAGCAATCGAGCAATCAAGCAAGCAAGCAAGCAAGCAAGCAAGCAAGCAATGAATCAATGGACGGATCTGTCCCAAACCAAGGCCGTTGGGGTCGAAGAAACTAGAGCAGCACAAGCCACCTTCGAGCGGACCAATCCAGAAGTTCCGTTGCCTGCCTTAAAACTCGGAACCGGAGGCCTAAATACAAAGCAACCAGATAAATGGTCGAAGCATAGGTTGGAGTTGTTTGCCGTTGGGAAAGGGCTCTTTGACACATCTGGTTGGCTTCGGCCCACACTCAGAGCATCACTTGCTTCGAGGCAAGGGCCAGGCTGGCAATCGATCGGTTGGCAAAGGTCGTTCGGTTCGTGCCTTGCCGCCTGCGGCTCAGGCTTGGGGAGAGAAGGAGAGAATCACGGACGTATTAAAACATGTCTCCAGAAATCCAGGCAGTGAGATCTTGATTTCTCAGTGGATGAAAGGTATCCTGGGAGTCTGAAGGCTAAAAGTCACCCGTGATATGAATTCCTCTCCAAGGAATATCCCCAGTGCTTGGTTAACTTTTAAGGTTGTTTCGTGCACCAGCGAACCCTGCCGACAACACATGCGAAACACGCTGCTTTAAGCCACCTCAATGTAATTGCAGTCTATTCTTGGACGAGCAGCAAGAGCTGTACGTAATATTGACTTGCGTATTATTACTTAGTATGTGTATGTTTACCGGAACCATCCGCGAAAGAGTTAGTTGGCCCAATGTGCTCCCCCTGAGCCGTCCTTTCGCGAAAGTTTTGCGAAAGGGCTCGCGAAGGCAGGTAACAAACACGAAGCCGAGAAGCATAGTTCTTTTAGATCACCGCTCAGTTGGCCTTGCCCAAACTGGATGAGTCAAGGAAGTTTAGACGCAGAATCATCTCCACTCTCCGCTCCGCACTTCCTTCCAGGAAGATTACCACCCCTCGTTTAGGATAGCCAAGGCAGTGACACAAATTGTAAGAGCAATGCTCAAAGCGATGGAAACACCTCATTCCAATCTGGGAATGATTTACATCTATGCTTCGAAGGGATTCTTGTGCGACCATTGTTGAGAGTGAACATCAAACCCAACTAGCAAGATCCAGGGCAGTTGCGCCTGAAGACTCTTGGGCCGCGACCCTCGTGCCGCTTGCCAGGGCAAAGATCCTCCGGGCAAGGCCCCTCCCAAAGCTCCTCAGGTGGTGGCATGCCTCAGAGAGGGAGGGTTCCCCGGGTGGATTCTGCAGATTCCGTTGGAAGGAAGCCACATTTCGGGGGTTCAGAGTTTGAGTCCTCGCGGAAGCCTCACTTATCACCGCCCAGCCGTTTGGGCTGACAAAGGCCCGGGCTGGTGACAAATCCGCCCTGGGAGAGTTGGAGAGCAGTGGGTCTTTTGGTTGATTCCCACCTCAGCGCAAAAAAGCGCCAACAGCCCTTCTGGAAAAGGGTTATTAAGGGGCTCCGCCTCACGAGGCCTCGCAAAAAGACGCGCTGAACCCCGAGGAAGCCAGCCATTGTGGGCCCCTCAAAGGCAACCCGAACTCAATGACACCCAAAGTGAAATCGGCGCCATGAGGCGAGCAAGCTGTCCCAAAGTGTTTGGGCTACCAAAACGCAGAAAGATCATGCGGAGTGTTGCAACCCACCGACGGGAAAAAAGTGACTGCAGTTTGCCCAAGGCGAGCAGAAATCATACAGTGGCCAAATTGCTAAGGGGTATGCAGGGATGTTCAGCAAAATCGATGTTGCTTGAGGCTCGTTGCCCAATTTGCTTGTTCAGATGATGGCCTGGTGGAATACTTGGTGTTATTCATATCCAGATTCAAGGTTGGTTGGGCGAAGCCATTCAATGAGGATGGTTTGTGTGAATGGCAGATGCGGAGAGTCTCCGCCACTTTAGATGACTGGAGTGATGTGTTCCATCAAGATGGCCTTGGCTGTGTGCCTGTGAGGCAAGTCAGAAGGATGGTGCAGGATGGCCTTTAAGGGGGTCGCTTCCAACATTCAAATGACCAAACCGAAAGGGTAGAATCTTGGTATTAGGTCCTTGTTTCTTCCGTCTGCAGGGTATTGTGACAGGGTTGGAGCAGTCCGGCCGAGAAGGCTCAAAGCACCCGCATTCCACTTAGGTGCCCCCGATGAAGGCGCCGCTGCGGCCCCAGCAAAAGCGGAATTCGGCGGGGACAACCACTCTTGTGTGTGATTGTCTGCGTTTGTTTGTCCAAGTCTGATCTGACTCGTTTGGGGACAGTCGGTAAAAGCAAGAGGCCTACAAGTTGAAATTGTTTGTTACAATGAACAGGACAACCGCCTTCCCCCCACCTAGGCGAAAGGATGCGCTTCCAAGACTGGTGAGCCACAATCAAACCCAGTAAGATGGTCCCGACCAGAAATGGGTGCAGCCGCCTTTTGAATTCCTTTCATAGTTCTGGGTAGATCATTTTAATACAAGGTTTGATTGTGACTGAGGGTAGCCTCAGTCTTTTTGTTTGTTTGTTTGTCTATCTATCTATCTGCTTGGTTGTTTGTTTGGTTGTTTGTTTGTTTGTTTGGTTGGTGGGTTGATGGGTTGGGTGAGGTGGCTTGTTGGTTGATTCGTGGCCGTGTGTTTCTACCTTTGCAAGGAATCCGATGCCTGCCGCTGCGAAACGGATCCGTTTGGTGTGCCATGGATCATCCAGCCTGCACTGGAGCACCAGTCTAGCGGTCAATGTCCCTGTCGTACTGTGGATGGACGATTTCCAATTCGCACCACTTGGAAACCATGGGGAAACCATTATTTAGTTAGTATTTACAGGGGAATCATCATTCCAGGGTTTCTTGGGTGGTGCACGATTTCGTCCATCCACAGTAAGGCGTGGAAATCTGATCCTTGCGAGCAGAAGCTGTCGCCTATCGCGCGTGTCTTTCTTTCGGCTAAGGCCCTTGCAGCCTGCTCAGGTGTGAGCCTTGGGGCTACCGGTCCCACAAAAAATCCAAAGAGGATGGGTCAGCCACAAGCACCACCAAAAAAAATCGAGGCGCTTCGAGCGAGAAGCTGTTGTTGCTTATTTGCAAAGTTTCAGTTTGGCTATGTCAAACTGTGTACTTGCCAGGCACCCCGGGATTGTAAACCTGGGGCTGTCGTTCTCGTGCAGCCATACCATTGTTTTGGCAACATACCACATGTCTATAGTCTATATATATATATACATATATATATATATATATACGGCTATATGATCATATATATAGATACAATAGTTGTGGATACAGTCGGATTTCGCACTCGATTCCGCGATTGCATCTTGGGGCAGGGTGCTTGCCCAAAGGCAAACAGGCTCTCAGTGTGCTTTCATGCGCTTTTTCTTCCAGCAGCTCAAATAGTGTTGAGGCACAGCTTACGCCTGAGGGTACATGACAAGAGTACTTGACAGTTGTGATTGTTTTGCCCACTTGGGCTATTTGGGCTATTTGGGCTGTTTGGGCTATTTGGGCTATTTGGGCTGTTTGGGCTATTTGGGTCTCAAAATGGTAACCCCAGAAGGTGGTTCAAACGGCCCGAAACCGCCTCCACACTTCTTGCGGAGGCCTTACAGCCGGAACCGGCGAGCGAGCCGACGCCAGAGCCTCGGATGCCGTGATTGCGGCGCGGGTCTGTTGCCAATGGCTGAGAGTTGGATCTTTTTGAAATGAAGTTACTAACCCAAGTGTGTGTGTGTGTGTGTGTGTGTGTGTGTGTGTGTGTGTGTGTGTGTGTGTGTTTCTTTCTTTCTTTCTTTCTTTCGTTCGTTCTTTCTTTCTTTCTTTCTTTCTTTCTTTCTTTCTTTCTTTATTTTATGTGTTTTACTAAGTTACTAAGTACTAAGTACAAGTCAGCAAGTTTCTAAGTTGCTAAGTCACTAAGCAAAGGTCACAAGTTGTGGGCCAGAACTCAGATGAAGACTGATTTGTGTCGGGCAAAAGCTTGGGAATCAAAGAAGATTGTTTGGCGAAAGCAACGAGATTGTCTTGGTCCTGTAAGTGCAACGTCACTGGAGTCTGGGACAATGGGGGAGCTATGCTGAAAGCTCGCGGCTTTCTGAGGCAGACTCGGGAGCCAGGAACTGAGCCTGCCATGTGGCTGATGAAAAACATGAACTGGCCCGGCCCCCCCATGTTTCATTGTACTCAATTGTCCAAGCCGACCTTTTAACCTTTTGTTTTCCATTTTGGTAGATTTTTAGTCAACCCCAAAAGGCTAACCTTTTATTTCCTGGTGCTTTGGGCAACTGAGTGTAATTTTGAGGCTTAAAGTGTTAACCCGGAAGCGTCGGATGCGCTTGAATGCCTCACAATTCAGTTTTCGGCGAGTGAATGTGAACGGCGCCCATCAGTCAACATGTCAGAGAATGAAGGGCAAACATACCAGCAGAGTACATGCTTGACGAATCATTGGACAGGCTCGAAGTGGCAAACGATGGTTTCGGGGCGATGGAACAGCGATGTTGAGCATCCACGGCTCTTTCAGTTCTTTTGTGCATTCCGGACATGTCGTGCGCATAGCATGTGGTGCGCATCTGCAACTTAGTGATGCAAAGTTCTTGCCTAGCTGCTTTGCCAAAATGTTTTGTTTTGGTTTTCTTCTGGATTCCGGAACTTTCAGCCAAGACATGGGGCAGTGTCACACGCAAATTCCAAAGACAAAGGTGGCGTTACGTGGAGACGCTGTTTCAGAAGGGGTGCTTTTCTGAAATGTGGTCGATGGCTGGAGCAGCAGGTGTCCAGGGCAAGTCCGGAAAGGAAGTGTTTGTGAGGCTAACACATCTGATTGCAACCCACCCTTTACGCAGGGCAGGCTGGGGCGTGCAAAGCCAAGTCGCTCCTCCCCAAAAGTGTGTGTGTGTGTGTGAAGAGTGGGGAGAGGCACGATGCTATTGTTGGTTCAGCATGATTTTCTGTGTTTGCCTGTCGCATCTTCCAAGCAGGCCAACAGGAATCGCTGGTTCAATGGTGTTATTTGGTGTTTGCTTTGGTCAACTATCGGCAGTTGTGGCCACTCATGACAACCCACAAAACGAATGACGCCCGGATAGACCTGGGCAGACGCCGCTTGTTTTGAGTGGGAATGTGGAAATGAAAGTTCCGGATATTCCATGTAGGACCCGAATAGGGCTGGCTGAGTTCCCACAGTCCCTACTAGCAAGCAGGGTCCACAGAATCACAATCCCCTTTCTCCTCCAAAAGTCGGGATGAAGATTTCAGGGATTTTTAGGGGAGACTTTAGGGTATGGAAACGACAGCATCATCGAACCACGGGCGTGGTTTTTTGAGGGTACCCTTTTTGGGTATTGGTTTCATCTTATGAAACCAAAAGGACCATCCACGGTCTACCCCAAGACGAGGCACCCAGGTGGTTTTTTTCTATGCGTGGGCACAAGAAGATCCCTGCGGAGCAAGGCAGCAGCTCCTGCAAGAGCAGCAAGACTTGGAGAAGCGGGCGCAGGAGCACATGGCCCGGCCCTCAGCTAGCTGGTGGTTGCAGAGTCGTTTCTGGAACCGGAGCGAGGGGATCGCCTCTCGCCAAACCCCCGCGAACGTCAGGTTCCATGTTAAGCGGTGGGAGGGCATCACAATTTGCAACTTGGGAGCTAAGGAGCTACCAGTTTTGAAAAAGAGGTAGGCTTGTGGGTTTTGGCGGAGAGAGTTCTCCCATTTGGTTTTCAAGGGGAGCCAAGGAGATGAGCCTGCCAGTTTTGAGGGCGAATCTGATGGTACAAGTCAGGAACTTGTTGGTGCTTGAATCCAAAAAGAACTAAGATGTACTAAGTACTTTTCGCAATCGATGTCCGCTGGGCAGTTGTCGAGTGGCATGCCGCCCAAGAATGAATGACTGCCCTGTACATTGTACTCGATTGTACTCCTGTGGTAGAAACTCTACCCAGTTTGTATGGCAACAAGCTGAATCTCCGGATATTATTAGCTGGACCGTTGGAGGTGCAGTACACCCGTCGGGGGTTCATTGGAAAGTTGGATGCGCTTGATTTCTCCATGGCCGCTGGGCGAGTAGGAGGTGTGTTTGTCAGATCTACGATCGATCGAAGCGAGCGCGCCTCGAGCACAAGCACCAGTAATCTTACGACATGTTGTTTGAGCGCAGGCCCTCTGACAAACAAGGCACCTGGCAGTCCAAAAGAGACAGGTTCTGAATCAGTGGCAAACGAGGAGTTTCACATTCCTGGTTTGCTATGGCTGTTTGAAACCCACAGGAAGAGCTCCTGTTCTGAGACTCCTTTGCAGTCTTCAGCCTATTTTTGTTTGCAGACTTTGCTCACTGTGCTGCTCTTGTGCGTTTCGTTGGTTCCATCAACTACCCACTGACCAGCAAACTGTTAAATTGTCAGGTGCTGGTTGAGCACCAGTAAATGAGGAAGGGATTACGTGCTGCTCTGAACCTGAGGACATGTTTAGGCCGCATCCGAATAAGTTGAGGGCCGACTGGAAGAAACCCCTTTTCGCAGCAATGGGAACCCTGGATTGCTCAACCTGACGCATCAATTGTTTATGTTCTTTCTCCAAAAGGGAAGGGTTCCTCTTGAATGGGAGCCCCTGCAGTGGATGAGCAAATTCCACTTCGCAGCAGTAGTGATGGATGAAACAAAAACACCAACTGGTGAGAGGCGGGTTTAGTCCAAAGACATTATTCCGTTTTAACCCTTGGTTCAGCTACCCCTTGGTTGGGATGTGTGGATGTCTGGTGTGAACATTTGACCCCCACATCTATTGTTGAAGCCACATGGGGGGGGGGGGTTGGCACCCTGAACAACCAAACCAAACCGCGAATTAGAGGCGAGGTGAAGTGCTCCCTTCTGGCCGCTACCCCAGACGCTGAAGGCTCAGCTGGTAGAGCAGATGCAAAATCTCCGGCAGCAGGTCCAAAGGCTGGGGGGGGCGGGGAGAGCGGGTTCAAAGGTGGCTGATTGGTTGGTTGGCTCGGGTCCGCAGTTTTTGAACTGCTCTGCGGTTCCACTTTTTGTTTAGCAAAAAAGGAGAAAACAGGGGATGGACTGTGGAGGTATGGCGTTTCTTGAGCGACTTGTTTTAAGGGGTGCTGCCTGACAATCTTGTATTGTTCCCCAACAGCTGAAAGCTTTGGGGTCTCAGCCCAGATAAGCTCGGGGTGGTCCGGGGCGGCCCGAGGTAAGGTTCCACCAGGGTTCCACGAGGGTTCCACGAGGTTCTGGGAGGGCTGCGAGGTGGTGCGAGCATTAAAATGAGCACCGCTGCTGTATCACCTGAGCTTATTTGTATGGAAGCCTGCATGACTGCCAAGCCCATACCTGACAATGGTGGTGTTGAATGTTCTGAAGATCTTGTTAGATGGGAATATTCTTGGGATTGATCTGGGAATAAACGGGCTTGACTTTGCTGCACAAGGCACACTCTGATTTTAGAGTGCGCACCCTTGGTCTACCTCAGGTCATTGTTAAACGCAAGGTTCGTTGGGAAGTGAAGTATTCGTCCATACCGAGACATTCGACAGTACCAATCAAAATCAATTCCTGCTTGAGCTCATGCTTGAACCTTTCCATTGCTTTACATGCAAGCGCCCTGCGCTTCCTGTAGTTTGCTTCCTCGTGCATGCACCGCGGAGAACAGGGAATGGTGCACTGACAAGGTGTACACATGGATGCCAAAGGACACGCATGTGGAGTGGTTTGTTTGTGAGCGTGCTTGTGGAGTATTTGTTGGTGAGCACTTGCATATTTTTTGCTTTGACGCGTGGGTCAGAGCCTTGGCGTTGATTCGTGCTTGGGGTTGAACTTTGCCTGCTGCTCTAGTGTTGACTTTGGTCCAAGTCTTGGCGTGTAAAACATGCCGCTGAAAGCTTCATTTCGCTTGGAAAGTCGGCTAATACAACATATATATATATGTATATATGTATACATATGCATACTATGCACACCAGTTGGCCCGGTTTCAAAGTAGGTACCAAGTTGGGCGGCCATCCTGAAGTTCGTTCAGGTCGCAGGTGCCTCCCAACATGCTCCCGCAGATCCAAGCTCAGCCGGAGACTCGGACAGCTCAGCGGAAGCAGATGACTCAGATCTGCCTGATCTTTGCAGTCGGGGATGGGGATTTTGGCCATGAACCCGGGTTGCTTCCACTTTTTTCGAGGGAAGGTTCAGGGTCTATTGTAGCCCCCTCTTGCTTGCATGGTGTGTCATTCAGACACAGACGGAGTGCGCAGTATTTAGTGCGATCTCAGGCTGTGGCTGGCCGCGAATGAATGTGTCGCAAAAATGAATGTAATTTCTGGTGTGCCTGTTGCTTGGTTGCCAAAGTGAGAAAGGGGTGAATCAACCACTTCAGGCCCCCTGCGATGTACAGTCCATCAACATGGCAAGGAACAAGGGGTTCAGACCCGGGAAGCCAGTTGACTTCGAATTTGCTCTGCTTACCAATTTGGGGTTGAAGCCTTGCTCCATGAGAAGCAGATGGTCCATTCCTCAGATTCTATGGGACCATTGGCATTTTCTACGTCCAAGTTTACAGGTGACGCTCGCAGGGTGAAGCTCAATTTTCGCATGGAACCCAATGATGAAAGTATATAGATGGCACATGATGGCACCATTTTCTCATGTGAGATTGGTAATCCCCGTTGCTTCAATACCCGCACAAAGCTAGGTGTGTTATTCATTGTCATCTCGGCATAGCAGTTGGAGACAGTTCTGAGGCGCTCTGTTGGTCCGCAAGCGAGTTCATTTTCTCTGTGTCAAACGAAACACATTTCACCTGCCTGAATATGTGGTTCCAGACCCCTCCACTTTGTCTTCTGGTAGGGTGTCAGATAAAACGAGGAGAATGTGGATACCCTACATGGCCATGGGATTCTGGTGCAACTTGCCCGCTAACCTTGGGCCTTGGCATGGTGTTGACAGGGCTCAAGGAAAAAAAACAGCAAAAGGGGGCGCAACCATGTGCTCAAAAAAGGTGGGACGGCAAGTGGATTCGCGGGTTTGGAGTGTGAGGGAAGCATTTGCTGAATGCTGGGACAAACGCGGGAAAATGGGAGAATGATGTTGCCTGCGGAATTCGGCCCCTTGGATCTGTTAGTTGGGACTCGCATAGTGAGACATCAGAGTTCCTTCTCAAGGCGGGGCACTTGGCCAGCGAAAAGATTGCCCCAAGTTCGCCCTGTTTCCCTCTTGATTTTCTTCATGTTCCCCTTGAACCAGCAACAAGTCGACTGTTGGGGGTAAGAACTGGCTAAGTTCCCTGGCTGCGGCGATCCCGGCGTTGTGGAAAGGGGAAGCCGCGTGGACATGTTCCCTTGAAAAGCGCCGACCACATGGCCCATACGCCATGCTCGATCCACAGGATGCAGCAGCTGAGCCAGCAGCACAGCCTCCTGCAGCAGCAGGTCTCCGAGCGACGCCAGCAGTGGGGAAGCCCAACTCGCGGAAATCGGAACGGGATTTTCCAACATGTGGGGGAGTACCCCAAGCAGTCGCAAGGCACTCCTTTTCAGGCCAGTTTCCAACCTGGCCGGAACCCTGTTCTCAGGTCTTCCCTTTACAGGTCCCTCATCAAGTAACAAATCCGACCCCCCACCCCCTTCCCCCCCATGCAGGGCGCTTCAAGCGTGGCAAAAGCCATTTGTTGCTTTTTGTTTGTTGCCATAGCCTGAGCAAAGCGCACCAACAAAATGCTCGCATTTGCCTGGTGTTCTCTCCTTGGGACCGGGCAGGGAAGGTTTTGTGGGCAGTGTTGAGCGCCACAGTCAGTAGTACCTCGAACAAAAATCAGCGTGTATCCAGATTAAACACCGCAGTTTTAGATGGAATCATTGGGCAACGTGTGGATGAGCCTCCGTTCAGCCATTCTCTATGAGCTCTCAGTGTGATTCATGACCTTTCCCACATTCCCAGTTCCCCTATGTGCAAGCAGCTCATGACACAGATGCATTAATTCTGATTTTTCCATTCCAAACTCGGCTAAATCCACGTTGGTTTTTCAGATGCGCCTTTCGCACCATGGGTGTACTGTACTATTGCGATGAATGGACGTGCTGTGCGAAAAAGCCCTTTGCACGGCGAGCAAGAGTAAGTTCTTGCCACCATGCCTCCTTTTGAGCAATGTCTCTGACAAAGGCTCGTGTTCTTGGCCTGTAGGCGTCATGAATAGTCCAATAGTTCCGATCAAAATGCCTCACCATGCTTCACTGTGACTTTTCTGAGGCGTGGACAATTGCCGACCACGCTGTGCAACACTCCCTTCATTTAGAGCATCCCAAAGCCTAGAACGCCTTCACATTTCCACCAACTGGTTGGGTGTTTCAATTTCACGCAGGCTCGCGGCGGAGTTGGAGAAGGAGAAGCCGGGCACTCGGTGACCAGGTTCCAAGTGGCACAGAGATAGGGGCAGTCCCAGCAGGTGCTGCTTTCAATTGTTTACATGGGTTTGGGTAGATAAAGTTCATAGTGTTCTCTGAATGAGCTATGTATATATATATATATTCAATGACTAGTTGAACGACTCATAATGTCATAGTTGAATATGACAATAAACAGTTGTTCATAGTTGAATAACTCATTTGTTTGACCTGTTGTTGTGGTTGTTCTCCCACCCCAAGCGTCTGACCATGCCCTGTTTGCTCCATGGGGCTGAGGAAACTGATGGTTCATTGACTTGAATGGCTCCCTGAGCGAGATTGCCTCGGGTTCCCAAACTGCAGATGGGCCTTCAGATTTCTCCCTCGAGTGTTGCAGAGAGTCAGAATGTGGACTCTGAGTGCCTCGTTGATTAACCAGGGATTTTAGCTAGGGCTTTACATTCAGAGGAAGCATGACCAACCGGCACCGACAGTGTTGATTGAACAACGATCTATGATCTATGACTCCTGCGTGACGGGCTCATTTCACTCCTTTCGAAAATGGGTCAAATGATGCAACACCTGGCCTTCCTTTCTGAAGGGTCATTCACAGCGGGGCGCGACCTGCAGCGCAAAATGTCATCTTCCGACCGGCATGGAAAGCGACAAGAGATGTGTGGAAGGCCACCTTTAACGGCATTGAGTAGGCCACGTGCAGACATCACGTAGGCCATGTGCAGAGTTGTGTGTGTTGTAGATGCGCACCACAAATCTGATGAATGTCAGCCATGAGTAGAATCCTTAAAAGAGTATTCAAAGATTTCGGCCATTCTGACCGATTGCATTGAAGCATTCCTCGATCTTGTTTTGCACCGCTTTCTGCAGGTGACTCGATGGCTTTGCGGGTGGCTGGACTTTTTTGAACAATAGCGTAGGTGGTCAAGCATTATGTTAGTAAGGACATAGATGACATGGTGGGACCACGCCCACCCTAGTTAAATTTCCGCAAGAATCAGATGGGACAAGTCAGATGATTCACACATGAGTTGGCTTTTCCGTGGAGTTTCTGGGTGGTAATATCCTTGCCATATTTATATATATAGCCTGTCCAACAGCCCTAGAATCAAGCTGGGACAAGCTACTCGGCCGGTAGAGCCTCCTCCAAATCCAAACTTTGAACATTTTGTGGGAACTTGGGACGACAAGTTCAAAGAACGTTGAAAGTTGAAAGGTTCAAATCACGAGAGCTATGCTGGGACTCGTTTACGAATGCAATCGAAGACTGAAATCAGGCATGGGGCGTTGCTCATATAAACAGGCAACAAGTGTACCGCAAAGTGCCCATTTTGGCCGGGGAGGCTGTGTAGGATGGTGGTGATGCTTGCTCGTGATGAGGCTGAGTGATCGTTGGCGCAGCGCGTGTTTGGCTTGGCTTTTTCGGAAACTCCCCCACTTTGTTGACAAAGGTGGTTGGACCTCGCACGAGTTTTATCCCGGTGTGAGCGCTCGTGATAGATCGTGATAGATCCATTGTCTTTGCAGGTGACTGGCATCGCTCGGTGAATGTTGGGCGGGGATCCGTTGCCAAGGAATGCAGCTGCAGGGTGGCCTAGACTGATGCCCGTGTAGATGCGCGAATGACACAGGGTTTTGTGCAAGGGAAGCCACATCTGTAGGACACCGCTTGTTTGGGGCGATGTCCAGCATCTTTCAAAAGCCCCAATGCTGCGCCAAGCGGAGAGCACGTTCTGTTTGCCCTGCAGATGGCGCAATGGCATGTCTGAGGCGCAAGCGGCGCAAGCAGCGGAGGCCGCCCGCGAAGCTGCCGCCGCGGGCGCGCGGATGCAGGAGATTCAGCAACAGCTGCAGAGTGTGCAGCAGCAGCAGGAGATCCTGGTGGGGACGCCCAGAGCTTACCAGGGCCTCAACAAATAGAATAGGGGTTGCGGATTTTGGAAACCGATTAAGTTATGTTCATAGAGTGTGTGGAAGCAGTTGGCCTGTTTTAATTGAGTTGGCAAGCAGCTAAGCTTGTTGGTCGCAAACTTGGTTTGTTGCCCGTCATCCAGCCAATTGGAAGGGGGGAAAGAACTTTAATGGTTGCAAAATGATGGGGCCGGTTAGTGCTGAGTTGTTTTGTCATTGTCGACAAGGTCCGACAAGTTCAAATGGTTTTTGCAAGACGACTCAGCCATTCAGCCAGAAACCATTTGCACAACTTAAGCAGAGCTCAGCCATGCTGGAGGTTTCCTTAATGGCATCAGCAACGTTGAGCCGTTACGATCTAAATCGACTCATGTTCAAGTTTTCCATAAAGCAAACCAACAGAGGACGGAAGCTCGTTGTTGTTTCCTCTTTTTAAGAGTCAGCATTGGCGGGTTCGCAGTTGGCGCGCCCTTGATTAACTAGGCGGTTGAAAAGACTTGCACCTAGGAACAGGGGCGAAACATGCCTGACTAATGGGTGCTGCATTGCCCTGTTGAAGGATTCCATGCTGATTTGCCAATCGGCACGGTTTTCGCATGTACAAGTCTTTGAGCCTGTGAGTTCTGATGTCCTCAGCGTATCACCTACGCACCCTTCACAAAGGTCAGACCTGGGTTCTGAGGTATTCTTTGTGGGCGATTCCTGAAGCCATTGGGGAGATTCTACATCCATTGGTTGATTTGCACAAAAAATCTGAGCTCGGATTCTTTTTGGCCAATTTTGCCAGGTTCCTGGTTCATTGGGACGGCAAAGGCCTGAATCCAAAAGATGGACTTGTTTTGGGATCTCCATGTCAGTTCGCCCTGCTTCTAGGGTCCTCAAACACGTCCCGCCTTTTTATGTGCTACATACTACTAAACAAAAGGGGCCTTTTTGAGCTCGATATTTGTTCAGGGACTTCCTCAGCCATGTGAGCCACGAGAGAAGTGGATTCGATGGGTCAGATTCTTGCGACCCGGCACACTGGCGCTATGGGAAGCTATAAAAGGAAATTCGGTTTCCAGGTACCCTCCGACAGGTGTCATGTCAGCGGGAAGGATAGTTCAAGTGTTGCAGCTCTGCTTGACTGTCGCTGTTCCGAAGCTCAAAGTACATGGCAGGGGCCTTGTTCTGCCCATCTTCAATACCCATGCCTTGTGCATTCACGGATGTCGTAAGGCAAAAGCACTGGGCAGAGAGTGTTGATTGGGGGAGGAGAAAGAAGGACGGAGCAGTGTGTTTTTGAGTGTACATATTTTGTGTGGTGTGTGCGGAACAGTGTTGCAGTTTATCAAGGGATGAAGATCCTGTTTGACTTGTGGGGCCGAAACTAGAAGTCCCAATAAGTCTATCAATAACGTACACAAAGGGGGTTGGGGTTGGATTTCCCATTCAAGTCAGAACTCACTTCCAAGACAGTCAGGGAATCTCCGCAAATTCTTCCATTCTGACCTAAGACCCTGTTTGGTTTCGCTGTTAGTTGGGTTGACATCCAGGGGCGGGGAAGGGCGTTTTAGCTTTTTGCCCACAGGTTCGCCAGTGGCACTCCGTTCGGCGCCCAGCTTCCAGCGGGGACTTTTTTGATACCCTGGTGCAAGATGCTCTTGATCCAAAAGCAAGGCAAAGTCCAAAGCAAATCGACCCCGCTTAGCTTCAACGGTGTCGAGAATTGCGTTCAGGCACTGTGTCAAAAGGAAAGCTTTAAAGCCACATCTTTTTTTCAGGGGTGGGGCGCCCGTACTCTGTAAAGGTCCATCGTTCGCAGCACTCAAAGGCAATACACAACAAGTCCATCTTAAACGGATGAAGCGTCCTGGCTGTCCTTCACTTGGTTTATTCTTCGACAGCTTTTGTCCTTCGGCAGAAATCGGCTTCGGGCTGTCAAAACTCAACTGGTGACCTGCTTCAGCTCCCTTAGTGGTAGCATGACAACCACTATTTGGCTTCCCTTGAAACCAAGGCGAAAAGGTTGCCCTGCAAACAAAACAAATCAATGCTGACAAAGCCATGTCATCAACCTTGAGCTGCTTCCCCCAACTGACACGGGATTCATGACATCCCTGCACCGCAAGAAAACATTGGGTGACTCCATGACACGTGGTTGCCGACATTGCAAGTGACCAAGCTGAAAGTATGGTCAATAGCAAAGCACTTGCATGGTGCGCCTGGCTGCAACATCAAGGGTTCATGGGGGTTGAGTGAGTCGTGGCCGTTTTCCCCGTCTGAGTACTGGGTGCTACATAGGCATAAATTGCCCAGGATAGGTAGTCTTCCAAAAGTAAGCCAACAGGGGATGGAACATCTTGTTCTTTTCCAGACACCGTACCTAGCACCCAGTTGACAGCAACCAAAAAAAACGCCAACAATTTTGTTCCGGCCTGTTTTTCGAGAAACATCTATCGGGGCAAGCTATCAGGGCACATTCCGGCTCGCCTGACTGATTGCGTTTGCCAGACCTGTCGCCCCGCAAAGCAAAGCGAGGACTTGCAATATTGGCAGTTCGAGTCATTGAATTGTTGGATTAGTTTTGTGAGTTTTGGCTAGCTTGACTGTTGATCGATCGGCTAGCCGAAAGTGTGACTGGCCTGCCTCTCAACAGGATCAGCTTGCACGCAAGCGAGGAGGTTAGGCCAATTTTGGGGCAACACGTTGTCGCCCAACCAAACACACCAAAGTTTGCAGGGGAAGCCTCGTTCGCACAGACACCCACTGCGTTTCTGCAATTCCTTAAGGCTTAATTGTTTAGGTTTGGGGGGATGCAGTTTGCTGACCAACGCCATGACTGGCAGAACCATGCTAGCTCCAGACATCACACTTCACTTTTTTGTTGCTCCGTTTGGTTGCAAGCCAGGGCCATGCCAGCCCTGTGATGCATCAGCAGCAGGCGGGAATTGAGCTGGTTCGTGGCAGGGACTGAGGAAGTGAACTGGCCACGGTACACAGCGACCTCACGGGTGTTAGTTTCCGACCCTGCCCCATGTCCCTGATGGCAAGTCAGTCAATTATGACCCCCATCAAATGTTGGTGGCCCGAATGGTTTGGGCCATTCCCATCAGCTACAACTTTTCCGGAGAACAAAAAGAGCTGGGTGCCAACGCTCCGGCTGCAGCATTCCAAGGCAGAGATTGTGTTTGCCTTGTAAAACTCGCGTGTTGCTGCCAGATCCAGTTGTTGGTCATTTGCTTTGCGTGCTTACACCAAGCACCTTCGGCCTCCCCTTCCCCCTTCAGACATACTTCGTGTGTGGCAGTTTACTCTTTTTGGCCCATGTCTTTTGGGGCAGATGATTGGAAAGTGAGATCTTCACTGCATCAATTCGCCCGTGGCAGTGTGACGCAGTGTGAGGGCAGTGTTCCTTATCGCAAGGCATTGCCCATTTTGTCTGGACTGCAAAGGGGAGTATCACAAATCACCTAGTCTCACATCGCTGTTCACATGACCCATGTGGCCAGTCGTGTGTCGATGGCAACAAGTCCAAGCAGCACTCGGCTGGATCGTTAGCTCCGCTATGGGCCAGGCCCTTTTGCAGCAACAGCAGCAGCAGCTGCAGCAGCAGATGAGTCAGTTGCGGCAAAAGGCTCGGCACGGGCTGTTGCGGGCACTAACTGGTGTCAGGGATAAGTTTGCTGGGTCTCTCAGTGTGGCGGTGTGCCTTGAAGTGTCCCTTTCCAGACCGCTACAGGGTTTGTAGATCGTCTTGACATCTTGACAGTGCCACGAGCGTACAGTGCCATGCCTAGATGTCCAATTCGGTGTGAACGCATGACTCATGGCCTCGCTTCTTGTGTTTGCGGGTCCAGGCTGTGAGGGGGGGGGGGTTGCTTTCCTTGGGCCAAAATCGGTCCCAGGAATGCAGAAGAGGCTCTTCTGATGCTGGCAGCCACACTAGCATGTGGGATTGTGGATTGTTGGAAGCTTTCATTGTGTCTGGCTGTATCAGCTTTCGAGATTAGTGCAAACACGTGGAAAACATTCGCTCGCTTCGTGCATTGGCTTTTTGGGCCGGGGAGCATAGCGAGGATGATAGCAACCTCGTCCTGGTCCGGTTTTGCGAGCGCAGATACACAGCGCCCGGCACGGCCCGGCATGGCATCACGCACACACACATACACACACACACAGCCAGGCAGGCAGGCACGCAGGCAGGCACTCAGGCCCGCATGCATCCACCTGCACTTACATTTGCGCCTACGCTTACAGTTATTACACGTACATGTAACGTCCAAACACCCTCGCACCCGCAGGTGCACGTGCACGTACGCATATAGTATCGCTTGATCGCAGATGCCTGTGTCAGTAAACTCTTGGAAACGAGTGAGGCTTCACTTTCAGTTCCCCTGCCGGGATGTGAATCAGAGGGTGCATTTAAACCAGCCATTAATCTGCAGGCGAGCAGATTCCTTGGCAGGTCCAGGCCGCACAGCCGGCGAAAGCTTCGCCACCGCACGCCCAGCCTGCTCCGCAGACGCAGGAGATGCCTCAGGTGCCACAGCAGCCGGTGCAGTCGCAGCAGGCAGTACAGCCGCAGCAGCCGGTGCAGCCGGTGCAGCCGGTGCAGCCGGTGACAAGGCCTCAGCTAGTGAGGCCCATAAGGCCACTGCAGCCAGGGGTGGTGCAGCCAGGCCTAGTGCAGCAACAGCAGCAGCAGCAGCAGCAGCAAGCCTTTGCGCCGGAAGAAGTTCAATCCCGGCCGCTTTGCTTCTTTAAGTCGAATGTGCAAGAGGAGAACGTGTGGGTTTGTACCAGCAAGAGCTCTGCTATTTACACAATGCATTAGTTACACATCTTCTGCAACATGACTGGTTCGTTCATTACCCCCCTTTGCCAGATACTTGTGGTGTAAGCACATCAGATCCCAACTGTGATGTCATTGAACGCATGATAATATCCGCTGTCGCTTAGCCGGTAGTGATCCAGTTTGACTGCAAAGTTCTAGATGCTTCTCGCCTCGTGAGCATTTGTGCACTTGGAACAGGTGCTATTCAGGAAAGGCATATCTCGTTATTGCTGGAATTTGCACGGGCCCTGTCCAATCAACTTGTTTCGTGAGCGAAGCAGCTCAAGAATAGAGCAGTGCAAGCTGTGCGACAAGCATTCTGCTCTTGCAGTAGCAAATGTCGCCGTGACATGGGTGTGGCTCAAAATTAAACAGGAGGGGTTACGTAGGTTTTGGTCCATGTTTCCCACTTAATTACCAGGGTTCCATTGTGGTACCGGTATTTTGAGCCACAGCCACATGTTCCTAAACCAGATGCCTCGTGGCCCAGCTCAACGGACTCCCGTAGCAATTGCTCGCCTTTGCAAGCAGCCGTCTTGGCCATTGGCTCACTGAATGTCATTTGTCATTGGATTTAAATACCTGGACCGTACACAGAAAGGCGACGACCTCTTTCCCGGAATATGTTTCATCCACATTGGATTCAAAGTGTTCCAGCACGCCACGTGATCAACCGAGCGTGGAAGTAGACGTTGTTTTCTATTATTATTATTATTATTATTATTATTATTATTATTATTACTATTATTATTATTTATTATTGTTACTATTATTATTATTATTATTATTATTATTATTTGTTATTATGGGGCATAGCCCTACGTCTTGGAGCTTCATGCGTGACAAACGTCCGGCTGAGGCCCGTGGACCCCATGGAGGAGCAGTTGCTTGGCGTGCACAGGCGTTTTCGCTCTATTTGCCTATTGCCTTTGTGGATGGATTGAACACATATGAGGCGGTTGCCTCACGTTTTCCCCGTGTGGGGATGAACCAGGGATCTATGAGCACGCCTCAGTTGTGGAGTGCCCAATGTCTAGCTGATCCAATCATTGGCGCTTTCGCTTAGAGTGCTTCACACTACAGCCATGATCATCCCGATGTATGCCGCCATACCCAGGTCTTCGCTGGGCATTGTTCCCCAAACAGTGTGTCAACCACTAAGGGGTTAAATCGAAATCCTCGCTCCGGTCTGGAGCGTTGTTCATGGTATTTACGTACAATCGTGACTTTGTAGAATCTTGAAATGCATTTTGACTGCGCAGGCTCGCACCACGCGGTGGGCCGGGCTGGTGTCTTTCAAGGGCGCACTCTCGCTGCGGCGGCACGCGAATTCCGAAAACGGTTGATTGGCAAACCGTCTGCGGACTTTGGGTGCGTTGGATGGCTCCCTGTGACGCGGTGCGAATTTTCATTATCGAAACCAGCCCTCTGCTTTGAACCTCGAACGTGAACACTCTGCGGACCTTGGGTGGTCGAACCGCTCTGGCTGTGACGCGGCGCGAGTTTGGAATATCGCAAGCGAACCCTCTGCGCGCTTTGATTGGGGGAAAAAGAGCCGCTCTGTCTGCGGCGCGGTCGGCGAAAGTTGAACATCGAAAGTGAACCTTCTGCGGACTTTGGGTGGGTCGGATTTCTTGCTGCGACATGTGCGAATTTTGAACGTCTGTGGCGCGGAGCGCATTCTTGTACATAAAAGTAGGAAGCTGCAGCTCTCTAATTGACATGTTGCAGAGATCCTGAACAAGAAGTCTTGTGCAAAGAGCTTACAAGGGCTTCAAAAGACACCTTGCGCAGAGATTTTCTCGCAATGGTCCTGAAAAGAGATCTTGCGCAGAGCTTGTAACTGAGATCTTGTACACATGATCTCGCACAGATCCTGTTGCCGAGATCCCATTAAGAGATCTCACGCAGTGATCGCACAGATGTTGCAGCGCCCCGAAAGAGACCGCAGTGTGTTTTGAAAGGGGGGTCAACCATTAATCTTTCACGAAGCATGCCCCATATCCTTAGGCTTCAAGCAGTGCAGCACCAGGCGGGTGTCGGGTTTGGGGAGAGCCGGACAAAAAGGCCAACGCTTTCCGTGAGATCAAGACACTGCTGAACGTCATAGAGCGCTGGGATCGGCCGTCGATGTATCGGATGAAGTTAGGGATGGCCAGCCATTAGGGCATGGGAAGCACAGGTATTTTTACCTAAAGCAATTTGGCTGTTGGCGGTGTTATTTTTGCTTGCCCCAGCGTGACAAGCATGTTTGCCTCTTGAGCAGCCACCAGGCTAATTTCACTGAGGTTCAAAATATGTCAACCCAAAATCAAGGCTGCTCAAGGGAGGTTTATCTATGCTTTGGATGGCGCAGAGCGGCGCCCAAAGCCCCGGACATAGGCAGCAACGCGCACTGTTGATCCAACCTCGTCTGAGTACCCGGCAAGGGGAGCTGAGTGGACTTGGAGTCGTTGCAGCCCCATACCTCAGAAAACCACTATCCTGAAGGCAACGCACGTCTTGCAGTTTTGTTTTTGGCAGGACTAAACACCTGTACTGTAGATATAAAAGTCAATACTCTGAAAAGAAAGGTGTCTGGAATTGCATTTTTGTTCATTTCCATTTGTTCGAGGCATCCTTTCTGAATTGTTTGATCGCTCAGATGGTGAAGCTGCAGCTGCAGCTTTCGAGTCCCCAGCCCTACCTGGTGAAGCAGCAGCTGCAGCAGCAGCTGGTGCTGCTGAGGCAGCGCCAGCAAGCGCTGCAACGCCAGCTTCAGCTCGGAACTCGGATTAGTTTGCGCTGGGTCCCGTAGATGGGGGTGGCGTCCCCTTCACCTAGCACTTAAACAATTTGGTCCCGTAGAGTAACCAGTTTCAGTTTGTGGCTCTCTTCTTTTGTGGTTGTGGTTCCATCTTTCACGTACCATTTAAAGGGTAATTCTGAGAGCGGGTTGGATGGCTCAGCGATCCAGGGGTGAAACGAGCTGATCAGGGATGAAGGTCCTGTACTTTGGGTTGCGTGATTTCCTGTTTGAGAATTTGTAAGGAATTGTCAGAACTTGCCTAAGTCAGATCCTCCCTTGTCGGTAATTCGGCATTTCAGGGACTTGATTCCGGTGGTGTTTCGTATATTGCCCCTGCATCGGTGTTTTTTGAAGCATCGCCTTTTGGTCCAAATAATGATTTTTCTTCTGGTGATGTTTGAAGGGACATATGTAATTGATGTGGGGGACTGATTGAAGATGGTGCTTGCCGGGTGTGGATGCCCCTTTCTTGAAGGGTTCCAGCTCAATCTGGCTAGCTCTGCTGCACGGTGCTTCGTAGCATAGCCTTGCTTCACAAACGCTTTCGGGATGCGCGGGGTCTATTTTTGAAATGAGTGGCATGTGAAACTGCAGCTGCTGTTTGTAGAGGTTCTTGCAACAAGTTTGGTACCCACGGCATGGGCATTCAACAATTGGGCTTAAACAAGGGCCTTTTTCAGCGATACCGAAGGAATTTTGTCACAAGGCCATCAATACAAAACCAACATTCACAGAAGTGATTCTCCACGACTTGACTAATCAGGTTTCGCACAGGAATGCATTGCAGTGGTTCCGTAGAGGAATCCCAAAGCGTAGCCCAAAACAACACCTGCCTGTGGTTGATTGGTTGGCCTTGGGCTCGGCAATGGGCAGCCCGCTCATGTATGGCGAGCGTGGGGAGTAAGACCTTACCCATAATGATGGTCCTGCAGCTACAGTTCATTGTTTGAAGCATGTGTATATATATATATACACCATCTCGTATATATAGATATATAGATATATGTTTTTAGCAGCTGAGTTGAATGTGAAACACTAGAATTGTTTGGCATGTTGTGCGTCGGATTGCCTTGCCTTCCTTTAAAGGGTCCGCACAATGGGTAGGGTAGGTTGTTATCCTTAGGCGCCGACGTCACATCTATTGGCATGCTTGTGTGTTGCCCCCGGCCCATACTCCCAAGCAAACCCCAGGCCTTATCTCAGCCCCATGCGAATCAACGTTGAGCTCCTGCAGGTCATGGCCGAATTTGTCCAGTAGGGAACCAGTTGGCATCCACTGGTTTGGTTGTGTCTTCCCAGGCAAATGACATTCTCCCCAACCCCCAACACCCACTTAGCTTAAGGGGTATGATGCGAAAAGTTGAGGCAATCACCATGAACAACTTGGTTTTGCGACATATCTCAAAGAAAACCCAACATTTTCCCAGGTATTTCGGGCAGGGTTCATTGACGAGATGTGAGGCAGAAGACTGCCGAAGCGCCGCTTGGTGAGACAAGAGTGGCAAGAGTTTCACACAGGTTGGGCTCCAACCAATGTCTTGACTCAACTCAAACGGGTGTGGCGTTTTGTGGAGCTTGTGTTGTTTAAAGTCGAGACTATTTTGTTGCCCTTCCCTTGAGGATAAACCTGGAAGGAAGCAAAAGAAAGTTTGCGGCATTCGTAAGCTGCCTGGCTTCCCCAAAGTGTTCCGGGCTGCTTCAGGACAGGTTCGCGGATCGGATGTTCTTTGATCCCCAAACAGCGACCCTTGAAAAGCCAAGTCAGTGTTTCTCTCCGCAAGTCGGTTGGATCCTTTCGGCTGAGGCTTGGGCCTTGGGCTTGGCTTTTTGGAGTCCTGGGCAAACAGAAGCAGCACGCAGGCGGTGCGACGCACAAAACGCATGCGTTTGGTTGAGGGACCCTGAGGCTATGCGAAGCGCAAGCTGATTGGCAGAGAGTAAGGAATGAAGAGCTAATTGCAAAAGTGGCAACTAACACACCCACTGGGCGCCTTAGTGTTTGTTGCACTCATGCTGTAGAGGTTCAGTTTTCCATTATGTTTTCACATATATGCTGATTGTTTGTTCCGTTGCGTGTTGTTTGGGCCGTTGAATGTATTTGAGCAGCGCCAAATACACCTATCAGCCAGTTTAGTACGTGGCTGTATCGCCTGGTATGACCGACTACAGACCTTGATAACCATGTTGGTAGAACCAAGCGTGCATGAGTTTTGCGCGCTGCTCATGTGTTGAAGCCTTGGTACTCGTACTTGGCCAACCAAGCAGTGCAGCAACACAATCGACAGGGTCAATGTGCTCTACTAGTATGAAATGGATGCACCACCGCAGCACCCTGCCAGGAGAGAGAGGATGTCCCCCTACCCCTACATTTTCCAGACATCTTGTAAAATGTTTTTGTTTGGTACCCCGAGGTCCTGTCAGTATTGCGATCACTTGTCAGACGTGCTGTTCAGTAGTTCTTCACCCAGCTTGTCAAGCGCTACGTGCACTTCTTTAACATTGAATGGATGGCATCCTTTTGAATTTTACTGTGTTGTCAAGCAAACGTATTGGGAATAGCCTTGCCCAGTTCGAAACTGAGCGTGCATGTTCGATTTGTTGGAGGGCGAGAATGGATAGTTATCATGGGCAGTTCTGGTTGCCCTTTGCACCACTCGAAGCATTTCCTTGCCTCGGGGAGCTGAGCCTAGGCCAGCCAAAGCTCCAGAGGCTGGGGAGCCCCGGCAGAGCAGGGACCTCCAGGGCATAGTTGGTAAAGCTCGAACGGTTCATTCCCCATCGTTCTTTTCTAGAACCAGCTGTCTCCCCTTTTTGATGGTTTTCTGAAAAGAAGGATCCCTGGAAAGAACGGGGAAGCTTTTCCTAGAAAAGCTGCAACTAGGCATCGACACATTGCAGAGCCAGATATCGGGCGGGAGGAGGGCGAGAGCGACAAGCCAAAACATTCACTCAAGGCAACAGTTCACACGGAACAGTCCTGAAGCAAATGCTTAAGAAGGCGTCATGGCCGGGATAGGTCTGTATGAGCTGGGCAACCTGAGAAGGCTACTTTTTGGGGCAAGCTACTATACTTGGTAAGTGGATAGTAACCACGGTTGTAGCCCACTTACCATGGTTACGAGTCTCCTGAGTGGGTTATAACCAGGCTTGCTCACCTCCTGCCCCTTCAAGTACCCTTACAAAACATGTTTGCCTCGGGCCCGGTTGGGTGAACCGGGTGCGTGTGCAGGCTGTGGCGACGTGGGCATCTCAGAGGTTCGTTGAACAGCGCTGAGGAAAACGAATTGGCCATTTCGGTAGCTGGTTCGACCATGTTTTAAGGGGGCCCGGAAGGGCCCCTTTGGCGGATATAGATTTTGATTCCCACCCCGAAAACTCTCCAAACCACCACTCAGAGTGGCGTAGTGGGACCAAAAAAGCCACTGTGCAAAGGACGTGCGCCCTGTTATTGTCTGGGGGTAGTGGATTCCGGCATGAGGCGCTCGCGCGCATGAAGTCAAAGCAAAAGATAGTAGTAAGCTCTAGGCTTTGTGTTCGTGTTTGTGTGTAATAATATCCTTGATCTTTCATGCATCGAGACACGTGGACGAATGATAGTTGAGCAGCGCCTGTCCAACTGTCTGCTTTGTGTGTGTGTGTGTGTGTGTGTGTGTGTGTGTGTGTGTGTGTGTGTGTGTGTGTGTGTGTGTGTGTGTGTGTGTGTGTGTGTGTGTGTGTGTGTGTGTGTGTGTGTGTGTGTGTGTGTGTGTGTGTGTGTGTGTGTGTGAAGCGTCCTGGAGCACGGACGGAAATTCCACATTGCAGGGGGACTGGAGCCGATTTGCCTATCCAGTCCAATGAAGCTACGGCATTTCGGTGGATACCGGATCTGATCAATCCGGCGTACCTGCCTATTTCCTGACCCTCTTTCCTGATTCTTTTTGCGGTTTCTGTTTGTCGCTGTTGCTTCCTGTTCGGTGTCGATGTTGTGACCTGTTGATTTGCATTTGCATTCAAGCATTTTTACTGACTGCGTTTTGCATCTCGGCTAGTGAAGCCTCTCGAGATAAGTGTGTTTACCCACGGCCTGTCCGACATGGCGCTGTGGGCTGGACTCGCCATATGCGGGAGCCCCCTGCGAGGGGAAGACCGTTCAAGTGTTCAAGTTCAAGCTGCAGTTCAGTTCAGCGCGTTTGACCACGATCAAGGCTGCAGCTTGAGGTCTTAAGGTATTCCGCACCCAAATGGTGCTCTGCTGGTTTCATGCGCCTGCACTGCCTGCACTGCCTGCCTTTGAAGCAAGGCTGCACCCACGAGGTTTCAGGCTCCTAAGCTTCATGCGCCAGTGACGAGTTGGTCATACACCAACTCTGCGATTCGTGGCGTTTATGGAAGCTTTCGTCTCGGATGAGTTCAGTTCAGATTCATCGGCATAGCCACATGAGGCACTTTCATGAGGCCACTTGACAGGCACCTCTGAGAACCCCTTTGTGCTCGCATGCATTTCTGTGGAAACTTTTGCCGTTGCCGCGGGGTTTTGGCGGTCCCCTGGTGGAATTCCCTCTGTTTGGTTTCGATTCGCAGGTTGAAGTTGGCTCGCATGCATTTGCACCATTGACGCATTTTTGCCGCAGTTGTGGTTTTGTTTTCACCCCTTTCCAACCTTCTCTCTCCCTTGCGAGATGGCTGGACACCAGCTCTATGACATGATGCATTCGCTCCTGCATAGCATTGCGACCGGCACCGCGTCCGGCTCACCAGGCAATTGTGGACCGAACTTGCAGCTGTCATCCCAGATGACGCAGCCCATGAACCTTGTACCGTCACCCAACTCGCAGACGGCATCCTTCACACCTTTCCCCATGATGCCCTACGGCGGCCTCTCGAACTTTGGCAACCCGATGGCCATGATGCCCTACGGTGGCCCTCCCAATTACGGCAACTTGGCACCTGGCACCATCATGCCTTTCATGACTCAGAGCAGCATGCCATCTTCACCGCCCGAGCCTCAGCCGGCGCGCGCGCCCGAAGCTGCCGCTGCGGCTCCTGCCGCTACCTCCTCAACCAACCACCCTCCCCCGGACACTCGGCACCATCCCCACTCTCGCAGATCCCGTTCCCGCCACAGACAGCACCGACACTCCCACTCCCACACCAGCCACCATCGCAGGCACAACAAGTCGCACCGACGACACGACACCCGACGATCCCGCAGCTACAGCAGGTCACGTTCCCCTTCCCGACACTTCCACCACTCCCGACGTGCACACCACTCCACTGTCTCCCTCCGCTCCCGCTCCCCCCGACACAGGTCCCACCATCGACACTCCCCTGCACCCAGAGCCACGACTTCGCACCGACCCACTCACACTACTCATGATTCCACCTCCTGGCGCACTTCCGGGAAGGATTCCAACAAGTCTCAATGGTCCTCCTCACACTGGCGGAACCAATCGTGGGGATACCCACCACAGAACAAAAACCGCTGGGACATGCACCACCATGGCGCCAGCCACACCGGCCACCGAAACAACCAGGGCAAACGACCGTCCTGGTCACTGCAGCACCATGGGCAGCAACCCCACCCCACTTCCCGCACCGGCCACCACAACACTAGCTTGCCCCCTCACCCAGCACCTGCGGCGGCCTTCACTTCCACTCCCCCTCCCCCTCCCCGACCCACGCCGGCTACTCCTCACCCTCCCCAACCCCCCTTCGACAACACCGGTGATTTGGACCCCCCTCCATCGGAGGCGGACATCAATGCCACCACCACTTCCGACAACCGGTGGCTTGATCTATGGAGAAACGTCATGGACACGGCCAAGACTGACCCGCTGCGAGTTCCCACGCCTAGGGAGTTGGGGGAGCTGGACCCGCTTCCAGCCTTGGACATCTCCAGGGTGGAACAGACTAAGGCCATTTTGATGGACCTGGACCCTGCTTTGCCACCTTCACATGCCGATCTCCTCGCGGAATGCTGGGAACTGCGAACCATGGACACGGATGATCCCATACCGTTCGATCCCAGCTTCTACCACCTCTTGGGACGGGAATCACACGGCATGGTGTTCGCAACCACTTGGTTTCCCCGACCTCATCCTTGGCCAGTTGCTGGCGGAGACCCGGAAGCTGGATCCGGCACGGCCTCCCATCACGCTGTCATGTATGTGCACGGCACCACCCCGGATCGAGTGCGCCGCATGTGCCATGAGAACATGATCCGACCCGCTGCTTGGAGGCCCGAGAACCATGACTACCCGAGCTTTGGATGCTACGCTCAGGCCACCCCCACGGCATGCACGCCCGACACGCTCGGCCAGCTCTTGCAGAACTTTACAATCGGAAAGTCTCAACTCGGCGCCATCGCTTTTGGGGAACTACGCTCCATCAATCAGCACAAAATCCTCGAATCCGGGGGAAGCCACGAGGATCAACACAACGTGCGGCGCCACTTCGCATGCCGCCGAGGCAAAAAGTGGTGCCTTCACTCCAAGTTTGCGATGCTGAGAGGCATCGCGCTGCAGCGCCCGGCTTAGCGGGGCGCAAGTGTACCATCTTCCACCCAACCAGGAAAAGAATTGGTGCACTGTTTGATCGCCTTTTTTCTTTGCTTTGCTGTTCTGCCTTTCCGCGACCGTTCTCTCACCTTGTGACCTTACCCGCTTGATTCCGCTCACCAGCTTGTGGTTCGAACATTTCCTTTTCCCCCGTGTTTTCTCATGGCTTTCCAACCCCCTCGAGGTTTGGTTACGGCGCTCCAAAGGCAAAACTTACCACCGCAGCCTTCGCCCACGGCATCCCATCATCATGGCATCGTGTACGGCAACAACATGGCCGGGAACCCGTGCGGGGCCCTGTCCGGGCCTTCCTACGGATGCTCTTCCACGGCATCGGCACCGCCAGCTACACATCCGACTCCCTGTCAGACCTACGGCCAACCTATTCCCCGTTACCCACCACACCCCGGCCCTCGTCCACCCTCCTTTGGCGGCTCTCTCCCCCCCCCTCCCGGCGGCAACCCCTTTCCCCCCCCTCCCCCCGTCCATCTCAGGCCTCCCTCCTGGACTTCGGCATAAAGCGACCACGGTTGACTACACCTGACACATCACCGCAGGACGGATCCCCCGCTCTACCCCTGCCCACTCGCATTGCAGACGACTCCCAACCCCCCCCGGCTCCCCCCACCCACGGCGGCAACCCTCCAGCCCCCTCCACCCACGGCGGCACCCCGACCCCTCCCCCCCTCCCCTCCCCACCCACTTGGAAGGAGCCCCGCGACTTGCTCCAACCACCTCCCCACGTTTGCCAATGGCTCACCAGCAACTTCCCACCCGACATTTCCGACACCAAAGTCCAGCGATGGATCACCTCTCAGAAAACCAGCAAAGAGAGCAAGCAAGTCCTAAAAAGCTGGTCCAACGACTGCGCAAAATGGGCAACCACACTGGACTCCGACACCAGAGCCCAACTCGAACGAGCCGCTGTGCTATGGGGCATCCCGGTGCGAACCCTATCAAAACTGGGGTCATCGGCCTTGGGCCGCATCCTGGCCGCTGCGAGTCACTTCTACCAGTGACTCTCAACAGCACACCGACAACGACGCACAGCCAGGCAGCACAAATTTTGGCAACACCACTGCTGCCAACTTCTCACTGTCCTCCGTTTCACTCTTCGGTTCTTCCCAACCGATGACGTCACCGCACGTCATTCTTGCTCCTGGCTACTCGCACAGCTTCAGCTACTTGACGTCTGCCATCTCTCCTGTGGTTCCGGCAGACTGAAAGCCCTGCTTACTCGACTTGGCCTGGACAACCCTGCTTCCGATTTCTCTTCTCAGCTTGTCCCTTCAGCGGTTTATCTGAGATTCACCAGCCATCCAAAGTGGCAGGCCTTTTTCTACCTCGGAGCCACTCGCGCCTCCCTCATGGCACGGGGCCGCAGCCAACTTCGCAAACTACTCCAAGTTCAGCGACATCATCTGGTCAATGCCGAACTGGCAGTCCGGTGGTGGGCACATTTCGACTTTTTCCACCACTACACCTCGGTGCCCATTCACACTGTCGTTCCGGCAACGGACCTATTTGCCACTGAACAGTTCTACATCCAGGAACTGCAACCGTCTCTCAATTTTGGCTTCATCGAGAAACATTTCCGGCCACGCACGGGCTTCATACGCCAATTGGACTTCTCCCAATCCCGGCACATGGGCTTCGCCACCATCTGGCGAAAACGCCGCCGACTACGACTACCCATCGCCCTACAACAGGCCTTCCTGGCCAAACGCGTGGACAACCGCCTGGATTTGTGGCGATTTTTGGGCGATCTTGGCAGCAACACTCTACGACGATTTGATGCCATCCGTTACATACGGACCAGAGACTTCCCACCCGCCGCTCTCTATGTCCTTCATCGCATAGCCACACACCTGCCTGAACCACACCACCAGGCATGCCTTTCCGCCATTCGATCCAGTTTACAATTCCGGGGCCTCATTCCACCTGGCCCCTCGAGACCGATGCTTGCACCCTTCCTCGCCTGGCGACTACTGCTAACCTGGTACCGACAACGACAACCACACTCCTCTACCACACACCTCACAGTGGACACACTTGACACCTCTGCCATCACCCGCGTCTACAACGGACGCCGTCGCCGACACAAACCCACACAACGCACCCTGTGGCTCGACGACATCCCCGAGATCATTCAGGCCACCCTTGACATGCAGATCTTCTCTGTCGGCCTTCGTTCATTCAGGCAAACACGTGGGGCACCGATGGGATCCCCCGCGTCCCCAGCTCTCTGTTTGATGGTGATCGCGGTCGCCGAACAATGTTGGACCAACACTCACATCACATCGGGACTTCGCTCCGTTGAAGATACTCTCCTACTCCGCTACGTGGACAACAGACTCGTGATCGCAACCCCCAGGTGGCTCTCGACTCCGGCAGCCAACATACTGTGCGACGAACACTTCTATGGAGGAGACATCTTCCTGGACACAGAAGCCGCCCTGGACTTCTTGGGGTTCCGACTGAACCTCACAAGCAGCACCATCTCCTTCATCCCCTCGCATGAGAAGCACAACATGCTCTCCGTCAAGTCAGCCGCACCACTGATGCATAAGGAATCTGGATGTTATTCCGGACGCACGCTGATCAACCGAGTTTCCTTTCCTGAGTTTCAGCGAGGTCAGGGTCTTGCAATGTTGAAGAGGTTGCACCTCCAACACGGTTTCACCTTACAAAGAGAAGAAAAACCGTCCTTTGCGGAACCACACTGGTTTTCTTCTCTGCCTTTGCATCCTGACAGATTTGACCTGATTTTCGCGCCGCAGCTGTTTGACTGTTTGACCAAAATCCGTTACGAGCATGGATACCAACACAGCACGCCAGCTGCTCCAAGACTTCGAACTCATCCTTGGCATTGCCCAACAAGGCATCGCCACCATCCGCGAGTTCCCTGAGAGTCCGCCTGCCGAACCTGATTTGGCACCGGAGGCCACGTTCAACCCCGCCATTGAGGACCTGACCAACTCACCACCAACACCCCTCCTGGCCCCCCTCGAGGACCTCTTTGAGCCACCTCCTGATGCTCCAGATGAACACCTTCCCACTGATCATGACGAACAATTCCCTGATCATTGGGCTCCGCCCACCCCTCCTCCGTCTTCTCCCGGCGAAAAACGAGCTCGCCGCGCACGTGATTTGGCCTCCTCACGATCTACGGCATCCAAAACCTGCTCGTGGACCAAGCGAAGCTACCACATCGACCAGGACTGATGCCTCTACTGAGGCCGAACCTGAAGCCTCGCAGCCTTGGACTGAGGGAGAGATTGAACTCCTCCGTTCCCTTAAGACCAATTCCAAAGCCAAGTATGTGTGGTCAGTCATCGCCACAAGACTTTCTCGCACAATTGATGCTTGCAAGACTCAATGGGCCTTGCACAAGTGATGTCGCCCCAGTTGGGGCTCCGTGTGTGTGAAGCGTCCTGGAGCACGGACGGAAATTCCACATTGCAGGGGGACTGGAGCCGATTTGCCTATCCAGTCCAATGAAGCTACGGCATTTCGGTGGATACCGGATCTGATCAATCCGGCGTACCTGCCTATTTCCTGACCCTCTTTCCTGATTCTTTTTGCGGTTTCTGTTTGTCGCTGTTGCTTCCTGTTCGGTGTCGATGTTGTGACCTGTTGATTTGCATTTGCATTCAAGCATTTTTACTGACTGCGTTTTGCATCTCGGCTAGTGAAGCCTCTCGAGATAAGTGTGTGTGTGTGTTTGGTAAGTGCTTTTGGCTGAGGTCACAATATTTGCAGCAGCAGCAGCAGAACCAGCAGCAGCAGCAGCAGCAGCAGCAGCAGCAGCAGCTGCAGCAGCTGCAAAGCCAGCACCAGCAGGCCTGCGGCAGAGTTTCGATCCCGGGCTTGCTCTCAACATTAGGCATATGGCAAGTTGCCATCAATTAAGATGAAGTCATGAAGGATACTGGCACCAGTTTCACGTCGCAGTTATTGTGCTTCATGCCCTCGAACAGGCTTTATTGGGGGGTCTGTTTGAACCGGCCACGCCTTTTTACGTTGACTCTGGCTCCAAACAAGGATCTTGATTTGTGTAGCGGCTGCATAAGCGGATAGCTTTGCTCACCACGCCTGTAAATCGGATGCGCGACCTGCAAGTGCAAGTGCGCTTGCAAAGTGGCAAGAGCTGCTTTGTGGCGCTGGCGGCAGAGTCGAGTGAACTGAAGACTGAGGCGCCCCTTTCTGAAGCTCGCTTTCAAAGAGTAGATGGTAGATTCGTCGTCTACTTTGCTTAAGGTGGGCAAGCGAGATGGCGACAGCATTGATGCTATTGTGCATCCTGTCAAGCTAGGTCAACTGGTAAGGCATTCACCATCTATGCTATCGGAGGCGACGTGCTTTCTTGGGGTAATGCTGAGGATGGCAGAGATGTGCGTTTGCTTTCCGCATGGCAGGACAACTCCCGATCAAGTTGCCAAACAGATTTGTATGTTTCTTCTCCGCATTGTTTTTGGCACCCAGGGTAGGTTTTTGTTTTTTTGTTTTTTTGTCCCTGAAATGGGAACCTCCTACATGGCTGGTATGATTTGTTCTTTCCCTTTCAACTCACTTGCCCTAAGCCAACCTTTTGACCTTTGGGTTTCCCCGGCTTGGTCCATTTTAGCCAGGCTCCCAAAAGGTCAACCTCTGATTTCCGGGTCCACACTGGCCAACTGAGTCCATGTTTGGACATCTCCAAATCGTGCCAGACCGCGGAAGATGGCCAGATGCCGCGGACCAAGATGAAAGCTTCGACGTGAAAAGTTGGATTCGTGCGTGCTTCTAGAAACGAGACCCGAGCGGGCGGACAAGATTACATTTGCTCGGCACGCGCAGGTGCCGCTGGTTCGCATCTCTTTTTTTTGTTCGAAGGGCCGTGTTTGGTTCTGCCTTGGCTGAGACAAATGTCACCATGAGCGCTCGATAGCTTCCCCTCGCGTGCACGGAGCTCTGAGGGCCGGTCCACAGGCAATGATGGAGCAGTGGACGCCCCGGTGTTTCAAGGTTGCTAGGGGCAGAGAGGTCACAGCGTGTCTTTGCGCCTTTCACAAGAGGTCAGGGATGTGTCACATCGTTGCCCGCCAGTGCTTGTTGATGCCGCAACAATCGGACAACCCCTTGCATGGTGTGTTACTGTGTTTGTTGATGGGCATAAGCAGCCGGCTCATACGGACAGATGATTGCTGAGGTCCCTTTGGTCACATTATGACATGTTCAGAGTGTTTGTCCATCTTCGGCAACATTGGGAGGGCGGTTGGCTTCGGTTTGGTTTGGTTGCGACCCCAAGGTCGTTTGGTTGCATTTGTCCAGCCTGGAATGCGAAGCTCCCACGAGCACAGCACCTCACACCTTGCGGTGGCCCGTCAGAAGATTTGGACTGTTGATGTCAGCTCAGTTGTGAAGCAGTGAAACCCTGGCTTGAGAAGGCCAAACTGCGAATCGGGAGTGGACAGGGTATAAGATTGGCGGCCCTTTGGCGGTGTTCGGGAATGGCTCAGTATCATTTGCTTCTCTGATACAGTCAGCAAATCAAACTTGCGAAAGATGACAGACGTATCATTAGGAAGTTTATGTTATACAAGGTGTGGCCTGAAACAGGGGTGAGCGCGCCAAAACGCAGTCGCTTTCAGTCGAATCTTTGAGTAGAGAATGGTTGGTCCAAACGCAAGCCACAAGGAACACCATCATTCTTTTTGGGGGGTCCCTAATTTTGTCACATACCCGTGTTCGACCTTTGTTTATCGGACGGTTTCCACTCAATGGTATTTAGCGGGCTGAGGTTGCAGCAGAAGCTGACCAGGCTGCAGCTAGGCTCTTAGCCACTGCCCAGCACTCGACAGGCGAAAAGGCCCAAGATTTGGAATGGTCACAAAGAGATCCAAGGTATTATAATAGAGACAACGCTGACACATGATGTAGTTAGATGTTTTGTATGTATGGCGTTATTGATCTATGATTACTTTCGCCACGGTTTGCTGTGCACGCACATCGCTTTGCAGAGATCAGGCGGGTCGACCATCAACTATACGGCTCTTGAGCAACCCCTTTGCACTTGCACAGAGCATCTTGCATAGGGTAAAGAGAGTGCATCTAATTGAAGAGAGTACCCCGAGAGATTAGGTATAGAGAGATTCCGGAGAATGCTGTCTGGCCACGCGTCAAGAATGCTTTCTGGCCACATATCCTCTAGTTTTTGTAACACGCTATGATTTGCAAACTCGTTGACAACATGCTTTCAGGGTACGTGTTTGTTGCTTTCATGCGGTTATGTTTAGTGGAAGGGACTTGGGTGAGATGGAATCTGGCCTGGTCTGAGGCAGGAGACTCCACAGCAGCAGCAGCAGCAGCAGCAGCAGCAGCAGGAGCCACCGTCTGAGGCCCTCCAGCTTTGTGCTCGCGAGGGATCAGAGGTAGACCCAGTTGTTCAGTGGCGAGCCTCCTCCTGGTTCCCTACTAAACGTACACAACTGAAAACAGGTTTCTTTGTTCCCTGTGAGCTTGTAGGAGGCAGAATAGTTTGTGTGTGTATATGTTCTGTTGTCGCCTGACATTTTGGCAGCTGTGAGATAGCTGATCTGAGCTGTTGTGGTTTGCTACTTGGACGGCGCGATCATATTTGAGTTGGGTCCGTGGACCGTTACCGTGTTTTGGTTTTTGTGGGTGATCGCGCGTACGAGTGTGTGTGTGTGTGTAGCTTGCTGTCAGGTGTGATGCAACTCTTGTGGTTTGCGTGTGGTGTTGGCTGCTTCTCTCAAGAGGATGCAGCTGTGTTGCACTGACAACTGTTCATCACACCCTTCCTCAAATGAATACTGGTTGTCCGTGAAGTCTCCTTTGCACAACATGGATCTAGCAGGGTGTGGATGCTCTGGTGGACGATCCCAATGAATGCATGTAGTTTGAAGCTGGAGGCTTACTGTGGACGCTAGCCGGTCGTTGCTTGTTTGAAGGGTCCGTCAGACGACTGCAACAGGGGATCGTGCCCTTTGAAGGCGCAACGTGGCTAGCCAACAGTTGACTGCAGGTCTTCAGCTTGACTTCAGAGGTCTTTGGTGCTTTGGTCGACGCCCAACGCAAACCATCGGCTTGAGGCGTTGCAGCCAGGCGCTAACAACAAGGCTTCATGGAGTGGGCTTATTCAGTTGGTCTGAGAGGGGATCTGGGCTTCCTTGTTTGTAAACGAGTGGCTCCCGTTTTGCCGGATTATCCTGACGGGTCCAATCCTCACTTTACGCAAGTCCTGCAAATGCTTTAAGGTGTTTAGATGTGTTTAGAAATTGACACCAGATCTGAGGATGGCGTGTCCTTCATGAGTTGAGAAGGCTGCGGATTCTGCCCGAAGGCTGAACTGCAAGAACCTTCCAGGAATTTGGGACAACTGAAAAGCAACCCTTTGTTCACGGTCAGCTTGACACAACACGTGTGTCTTGCTCACTTCAGCTTGTTTGATCATGCACTCCGCATGCCGGGCAAGGCTGCAGCAGGCAGGGAAGAGAAGCGGCGAGAAAACGAGAGAAACTGATTTGTTTCTCTTTGTCCAGCTTTTGGTGGGTGACCTTTGTGTAAAGCCATCGCCCTTTTTGACAGGTTTCACCTCGATTGAGTCTTGAAGTGGACGAGCATTGCACAATGAAGTTCCAGAAAGTCGTATGTGTCCAGATTGGACCACGCAAATCCTTGGGCCCTCGCATGGCTAGTTCCGCTTATCACCGTAGCAGACAGAGCAAGCCGCAACATGTAGCATTTGCTGAACGCGTTACGGAGCTTTTAGAAGCCAAATCTAGGAAAACCGAGCTGTTTTTTACTCACTCCCTCACGGGCCGCCATGGTTTGCTTTTCGCCTCTTGGAAAAAAGCGCATGCCTCAAAGAGGATATCCACAGTAGGCGGGCCTTATCTGAGATGGGTTCCAGAGTAGCTTCGAAGAAGTATGTCTAAGAGGTGCCACCCATGTCATGTAGTTCTTAGGACGAGAGGCCTGATGCAAGCGGGGAACTGTGGAGGGCGGGCTAGGTATTCCCAGCTGTGGGAGGCAATGCGTGGGTATTACAGTACATAGTTTTAGTAGTTTCAGCTGGGGGTCCCCAGTTCAGATTGAGAGTTATGTTGATGTTTGAGATTCACCACAAATGGCCAAGAACTATACATGCGGGGGCAAAAAAAGCTTCGGTGCTGTTGTGAATGGACAAAACCTTGCTTTTGACGCGGGCGAACCAAACAACTCGCAAAAGGCGTCGCAGGCGCCCCGAGCGCGGACGATCTCACCCGTGCGCTTCTGTCTGCAGGGGCCTCAATGTTCCTATCGGGTCCCTTTCTTGTGTTTCCTCCATTGTAATTAGAGGTGTTAGTTTCAGGTGAGTTTGTGATGCCTGATGTGAAAATGGTCAAAGTCATGTCCATTGTAGTTGTACATTGTCCTAGGGTAGCTCCCTGTTTGATTCTGGAAGCTTGGGCCTTGAGTTGGCAGTGAAGCCAAGTTATCCACGCTTTGGCCCAGTGGGAGACGGTTGGCTGTTGGCAGTCGGCTGTTGGCAGTTGGCTGTTGACTGCTGTTGGATGTTTTCCTTGGTGCAGAAGCGGCGCATCTGCGAGTGCACCCACTCCTTGCGAAGCCTGGAGGGGGTCCTTTCGTGCGCCTTGAAAAGTGTCACGTCGACACCCAACACGCCTGACAGGCACCTGCCAAAGGTCATTTTATTGCCTTACCAGTGGGGAGAGCTGCTTTTGAAAGTCGTCTCCTTTCTTGCGATTACATGGGGACTCGGGCAAGTTTTTTATGTGTCGGTTGAGGCTGCATATTGCTGCATGCTTAAATGTGTTGAAATCCCATTGAGCTTTCATATTTTTTTTTGACGGTGGGTGCTGATTTCAGCACCTCATACCCTCAACCCACCCCAAACCCACCATACGAATGGAGCTCCGAGGCACTGCCTGGTGGCGAAGAAGCAGCTCCACCACCTCAGGCGGGGACTCAAGGAAACGGGGAAAGCGGATGGCCAGAGTCATGGGAAGCTGAAGATGTCCTGTTCTGAGCCCTGGTGCTGAAGTCATGTTGCTGCGGAAGAGGGGGATCCAAGGAAGACGACTGCTTTTGCTGGCCTCAAGTCGTCAGCTTGGTGGACTGCGCCGGTTGACTCAGCTTGGCTCAAAGCATGGAGAAATGCAGTGAACAAGCACACATTGCCAGAGGCCAAGCGCACCCGGTCTTCTTGTCTTCATGTCCTACATGAATGTAAGGCTGGGCTATGAAACGGCATGGGTAAGCGCACAATCGGCTGCGGAGTCAGTTGCTTCCTTGGATATTGTGCCTACCCCCAACGGCTCGGGCTCCACTTTCCTGGCCTCACTGTTGGGAAGATCGTTTGGTGGGAGCGATAATTATGATAATTACTTTCAGACTGTCCGGCTGTCCACTCAAGTAGGCTTGACTGCAGCCATGGGAAGTGGCGGCTCCACGGTGGAGACGAAAGATGTAGTGAAGGATCACCATGAGATGTTTGATGCCTTCACACGTGCCGTGGCTGACAGACTTCAGGGAACCCAAAACAGGTTTTGATGAACGGCTTCGAGCTTGCACCATTTAGGGTCACCAGACTGAGGTTGCCTAACCCGTGGCAGGGATCTGGTGATCAGCGGTCAACATGTTACAGGCGGTGAAAGTGAGAAAACTCAAAAGTCACAAAGACGGGATGTTAAGTTGCCACCGTCAATGCCTCGGCTCAATGTAGCATGTTAGCTTTGGGACTTAGTTGCCATGTGATGTTGGTGTGGTTTCATTCAAAGAGTGACCAAGCTGTAGCGTCTTTGGCTCCCCGTTTGGAACAGGTATATGTTGTTGCCGGCTTAAATGATCAAGTCAGGTGAGACTGCTTGGATCGGCTCAGTTGCACCTCTTTGCTTAAACAACAGGCGTTTAAATCACGGTGTTTGGCAGCGCGCAGTCTCCCTGCTTTAAGAAGTGGATCCGCGTGATTCTGCAGTTGCTGTGCGCCTGATTCATCGAACGCTTTGTGTCGGAGATGCAAGACTTTCAGCCAGCCTCGGCCTACATGTACAATTGCTCAATTCCATTGACAACAGCAACACTGGCCTTTGACGGTTTGTCTCAGAAGGTCAAGCCCTCTTGAAGTTTCGTGTTCAAGCCAAACTTCTGGAAACCAACCACCTGGAGAAGCCCCTAGTTTCGCCCGGCACGCTCCACTTGACCGACACTGTGCACTCAGGCCAGGATTGGAAGGAAGTGGCCAGACACATCGACTCGCAGGTGAATGCTGAAGCTCTTGCAACGCTCGGGGAGCAGCATCTCGCTTCAATCTTCTTGGGCCTTGAAACGCGTTTCTCCTCAACGTTGGCATCGGACGGTGATCCAACCAGGGGTGGGGATCACGTAAAGAGCCTTTCGAGGGTGCCAGAGAACAAGTCGTTGGCCCAGGCGACAAGGCTGGGTGCCCTTTTTGGTGTTGGATGCAAGGGAAACCTTAAACGGACAGCGCCTGTGCCTGTGCAAGATCCATCAGAACCTGGTAAGAGCTGCATTTGCAAGTAGTTGTTGGTGTGTGTTTTGGCCAGTAGCTTCGATCTTGGCCTAGATAGACTATTTCTTCTTGTTGCATTTGTTGTAGTTGCTCGTGCTGCTAAGGAACTTTCAGAACTGCGTGCGCAACTCGGCGCAAGAGGCAATGGAATGCAAGCTTGCATTTGCGTATAGCATCATCATCTAATTCGCAATATATATATATATATACAGGTGTGTCATTTTTCGCGTTCCCTATTTTGGCCGGTTTAAAGGAACACTAAAGGGAAGACCACCATGCTGCGAGTCCGCTAACTTTGTGTGCCTGCTATGAGCTGGTTAAATAGATGATTGTCCTCGAATTACAGGGAATGCTTGTGAGAGCAACTCACCCTTTTTGAGATTGTCAACAACACACCCACAAAAAAAGAAAACACGATTAGCCAGACATTCATAGCTGCCAGCCACACCCTTCGCTCCCAAAAAGACACACACCTATACACACATACACATACACATACACATACACATACAGCTACACATACACATACACATACACATACACAGACACAGGCACACACACACACACACACACACACACACACACACACACACACACACGCACACACCCACACGCACGCGCACGCGCACGCGCACGCGCACGCGCACGCGCACGCGCACGCGCACACGCACACGCACACACGCACACACGCACACACGCACACACGCACACACGCACACACGCACACACGCACACACGCACACACGCACACACGCACACACGCACACACGCACACACGCGCACACACACACACACACCCGCGCACCCACGCACCCACGCACCCACGCACGCACGCACGCACGCGAGCACACACTCACTCACTCACTCACTCACTCACTCACTCACTCACTCACTCACTCACTCACTCACTCACTCACTCACTCACTCACTCACTCACTCACTCACTCACTCACTCACTCACTCACTCACTCACTCACTCACTCACTCACTCACTCACTCACTCACTCACTCACTCACTCACTCACTCTCTCACGCACTCACACACACACAACACCGCAAACACACGCAGGGGACGATCAACAAGATAGACCACGGCTCACTGTGTTTGGGGGAGAAGCTGGTGGCAGTTTCAGCAAGGACTCTCCATTGGCGCCATCGCCCACACCCACGAGAGCCCGAAGGACGTGGAGGAGGCGGCGGAGATTCTGCGACGGGGCGTGTTCCTGGCAAAGTGGCCCTTCACCAAGGCAGGCTTCAGCCTCAAAATGGGGTGGGCAGAAGACTTGGATGACCAACCAACCAATCAACCAATCAACCAATTACCAAATAACCGATTAACCAACCAACCACCCAACCAGCCAGCCACCCAACCAACCAGCCAAGCAGCCAGCCAACCAACCACCCAACCAGCCAGCCACCCAACCAACCAGCCAACCAGCCAGCCAACCAACCAGCCAGCCACCCAACCAACCAACCAACCAACCAACTTGGATATGAATCAACCAACCTGTTTATGAAAATAGGGTGTTCATTCTGGGTGAAATGTGGGGAATCAGAACACTGTTGGAGGGGCCTCCACACCCCTGGTAATAAACTGGGGTTGATTGACATGGAGTCAACATGACTAATTTTTCCGAGTTAGTACCCCCCTGTCCACTAGCCAACCTGGTCTTTCGAAGTCCTGGAAGACTTTCCTTTCAAAGCAACCCTGTGTTGGGTTCCAGGTTAGTGGACGAGAGGGGTATTCAGTAGTTAGCCACTTGGGTTAGAACCCACTAATAAAAGGGTTAATCCCACTGAACGGGGGGACTTATGAGTGGGTCCACCTAGGTTGCCAACAACTTACTAACTCAGCCCGAACACCCAAGTAGACAGAGGATCGCAAAACACCAGACCCACCGCGCCAGTTCGTTTGAGGATGTTTGAGGTATTTCAATGAAATACTAGATCCCAGTCTCATCATGGAAGCAACTGAAGGGTGGTTTTTCTCCCACCTTTTGCTGGCGGCTATCACATCATCTCACCAAGGGCAGTCATCACTTATTGTTTGTTTTGTGCTCGACCTGTTGTGAATCATTCTTCAGTAGCTCATTTGACCGCCCAAGTGGGGACTTCGCTCAACCCCAGAGCTTCTGCGGCAGCAGAGGGCAGAGGACCACGTTGGACGATCAAGGCTGTTCTGGTTTGAGCATGGAGCATGTCAAGCTGAAGAACGGATAATATCTTCCCCCTATTAATAAATACGGCCCCCCCCCTATTATAAATAAATCCCCCCAAAAATATGTGTTTTTGTTTTTTTTTTGGGGGGGGGTTTTGGGGTTGGGTTTTTTGCTTTTCCAACCATGTGAGGGTTCACATAGGATTTGGAGGAAATGGATTGAATTGTAAGGTCCGCGAGTAAGCGGTTTAATAAGGAAATTTGATGTATCATTCATTTTTTCAGTTTACTGGTGGTTTGTTTGCAGCCAGGCAGGTTAATTAGCCAGCATGTACGGGAGAGAGACAGTCGCAGCTGTCCAGGGAAGCCAGCTTTTGGGGAAGCAACCTTTTAAGGAATTCATCTTTTGAGGAACCAACCTTTTTAAAAGTGGGGCTGGAAGCTTGTTAAAAGTGCCCCCTAATAAGGATTCCAAGACTTTAGTATTGGTTTAGTATTGGCGCAATGGAAAATCAATTGTGAGGAGTGGAAATCTGGTCCCGGGCCCCGGATTTCCATTTTTTTATTAATGGGGGTCATTCATTAATAGGGGGAGCGGATTAGTGAGTTAAATATTCAGATGCATCAATTGTGCATTTGTTTATCCATCAATCCGGAGTGTTCCTTTCACTATGATTGCCAGCAGCGGATGAACATGTATTCAGCCAGATTTGCTTTCAACACAACTACGGGTGAAGATGTGCGTCAGCGTGTGTGAGAGGGCATAGGGTGTGTTTGTTGTCTTTTATTGTGTTGTGTTCGTGAACTGACTTGTTCTTTCTGAGGCTGGTATGTTGATGCTTTGCATGTCAGCCATGGGCTCAACTCGTCGTTTTCTCCGCATTTGTGGCAGCCCTGTTCGAGGTGGCCTATTTGGTGACCGATCACCCCAAGCAGACTGAGGTTCTGTGTGCCGCTCTGGCACCTCTGGGCACGGACACATGTGCGGCAGTAGACCGATTGGTGGACGGCATCGACGGCTCCGCGAAGTTCTTGCGCCCAGTGGTGTTACACTTTGCCAAGAGGTGTTTGGATGAAAAGCTGGATGACAAGGCCCGTCGGCTGCTGGAGTGTGCCAAAGAGGTCCTTGATGGCACCCCGGCAGAAGAACTGAAGTCGCTGCAGGCGCGGAGGGTGGTCCAAACATGACCTTATGGAAATATGTATCCCACCTAAACATGCCGTCCATCCAGTTCAGAGTCGTTCTTGGTGTTTTTGTTGGTCGTGTATATATATATATATATCATACATACATGCATATGTATTTGCATTGACTTCTTCATCGCAAGGCCGATGCCAGCGAGGTGAAGTTGGGCCCAGTGGAAGACCACCACGCCATGTGGAACGCCTACGTGAGCAACCCGATCAAACGGGCTCTCCATGAGCTCATGTGGGTCGGTCTTTTCCTTGGGGACTTTCTGTTTTCATGTTACTTTGATTTGCTTAATAATTGTACTTTCTGTTTTGTTTGCTTTCCTTTTTTCGTTACTTCCATTTGCTTAAAATATGTGTTTTGTATTCCCCTGTTTGTTTTAAAGGGACCGGGAGTCTGTCAAGTGGAAATAGGTTCTCGCTTTTTTCAGGGGGCTTATGCAAATGGGGGTTTAGGTGTTTTTATGATTCCGGCCGACTTGATGTTTTGTGTTTGTTTCCTTCAATGCATGCATTGAAGCCAAAAGGGCTCATGAACGATTCATGAGCTGAAACCACAAAAAATGCTAACCTTAGCCCCCCAGAAACTTAGGAGAGGAGCCGAACCCCCCGCCCCAAGCCCCACTTGAGCCACACTCAAAGCCCGAATACATGAAGGTGAGGAAGGGATACTTCCAACCATAATTATTTAGCTGCGGCCGCCTTCTGATTTCTTTACATTGTTCTGGGTAGACCATTTTTGTACCGGGTTTTGATTATGACTCACTCCCATCCGCAGGCAAGGATTGGAAGGAGGTGGCGCGGCACATCGACAGCCAGGTGAGCGCTGAGGCCCTGGCGGCGCTGGGGGAGCAGAGCCTTTGGTCGGGTTGGTCGGGTCACAAGCGAGGGGCTTTCCGTGGAAAATCTCTCCCGGGCCGGTGGGGGTCACATTGAAACGAGCATTACCTGGGTGGTTCGCAGCCGTGCGGTTCCTTAGGTTTTGAGTTTTTTTTTGTGGGTTTAGTGGGGGTGTCCATTTAACGCACTAGAAGTTAAACTGTTAGCAAGAGATCTGAGGACAGACCAGTTTCACATCAGGTTGAGTATGGCCAGCAAAGGAGTTTACATTGGGTGCGATGTGTAAATGGGGACAGGCACTTGATCTATTTTCTTGGAATTGACGGTCGCCTCGAATCTTTTTGCATGGGCTGCCCTAAATGGATAAAGAAATCACCCGGAAATAGGAAACGAGCACATGGCATACTTGTTTGTTCAGCTTTTCTTCATCGAGGCAACCACTCTGTCCAGGATTCTCACGAGCAAAAACGGGACTGCAGCGAGCTCGCTGCAAGACCGTTTTTTGCGGAGTCCGTCTCTGGCCGGTGAATAATCGTATGGACCAGCCATAGGAACAACTTATGGGCCGGATGTGAAGGCCTCCGAGGGTTAGCTCAATTTGTGGCCACTGAGGAACTTCGCAAACTGCGTGCGACGCCGGGCAATATGACAAGGGCAGGTCATGTTGGTGTTTGGGCGTGAGGCTGAAAGTGGATAGAAGCGGTTTGCTGCTGCAAATGGTCAATCTCAAAGTACCACAACCAGACGTGCTGAGGTTGCAGCGTTGGGTTTCGGGAGTGTGAGAAATGGATTGTGTGCGGCTTCTGCCTTGATGGCATGCAACCATCTTTGAAATGATGCAACTGCAAGTAGCAATCTTTAGGAATCAGCAAGAGTAGATCGACCGACCCCCAACAATCGCCACATAGAGCCAGTGGTGGTCATTGATGTTCAAAGCTCACATTGCGCTGGAGGTCTAGTCAGGCCTATACTATGTCGGTGACGACACCGCATTCCACGGCTTGAAACAAATATACAAGCATGGGTGTGGTTGGGAAGAGCTATAAACATTTACCAGCGGTAAGATGCACAATTCCCCACGCAAGCTCCAGGGAGCAATGCAAATTCATGCAGATTATATTGCTTGTTTTGGCGCATGCAGTGCCATGCCGTTGGTTGGTCCAGCATGGTACAAGGCGCCCCGGCATTGTGTTTTCTTCAAAGGTTGTAAGGGCGGACTTCATTGAATGACACTCTCAGAAGGAGTAGGTTGAAGCACACAAAAGTGTTCGAGCCATTTCTGTTGGGTTTTGAGCCCTTTCGGTTAGCTCCACCCATCAGTCGTTCAAGTTCACAGGCCTCCAGCTTCGGAGACGAACGTGCATGCACCCTCACGTGTGCTTCATTGAAACCCTACAGGCTGTGTGGTCGTGGCAATGATGTTTGAGACCGCTATGCCTCTTTGCTTTTGGTTGACAATTTATCAATGGCGAATACTGATAGGGCAACTGTTGAACTGTATTTCCAGCCTTTCAGATCCATTTGCCCGCCCTCAATTGATCTGCACCCTTTTCCTGCCCTCTAACTGTAGATGTCCGTTTCTTGTCCCTCTCCACTTTCCCCTTTGCCTATTCTCACTCTCACTCCATGCTTCTTCTACCCTCCCACCCTTTCTGCTGCCGTAGCGCCCTTTCAGCTCAGGAATGTCATTGGCGGCCATCTCCAACACAATTGACAGCCCCCAGGATGTGGAGGAGGCTCTTGTGGTACTTCGCCGCGGCCTTTCCATTTCAGGCGATCCCACGATTAGAATCGATCGCAAGCTTTGCGCAGCCGATGGAAACCAAAACATTGCGCGCCTCACGATTTGGACAAGGATTGCAGACGCATGGAGCAGACACTCACCAACGCGCACCTTTTTCCCTGCAGAAAGACTTGGTTCAGAATGGCTCAATCCGTTCGCTTCATGACGGAGAACCATGGGTTGCAACGATTGACTTTGCAGATGGCCGTTTGCCCCAACAGGGCTGCAAGAAACATGCCCCCAATTCTGGTGCTGGAACAGTCACAAGGCCCCAAGCCGGCCCATGCCCAAACCAACCCGGATCCAGAGATCCAAAAAGTGTCAATCCAACCCCCAGCTTTTCGACCCCTTTCAAAGGCGCGGTTTTGTTGGGAAGCCCGACCTGACCCCGCAAAGATACGCGTTCCGGCGCTCGCATTTGGCTTCTCTCTCCCTTCCTCTCCCTTCCGTCAGGTTGGCCGCGGGGGCGGGCGGGGGGGCTGCTGGTGGAGTTTCGGCAGAGCGGGCGAGTGCTGGAGGCTTTGTATCTCCCGCCAGGCGACTCGACTTGGATTGGCCTCGTGGGAGGAGAGGGAAGCAACTTGTTGGTGGTTTGGATCGGACTCAGTGGTCCCTGTCTCGTTTGTTTGTGTGGACTCACTTTTTAACGTGGCATCAGGTTTGGTGAGGTTTCTGGACCCTACATGCTTTGTTCAGATCATTTTGGCGATTACCAAACGATTTGACCACTCAGGAAGTGAGGGGGGAAGATGACCATGAGTACCGTTAAAATGAAGGGGGCTAAAATGGAAAGTCCCTCCCCCATGCCGCGAGCACAAGATTACAGAAACAAGTAACAACTGTGAATGACATCCCATTCTGCCAAACTCCTGCTCATCATCGAGCAAGACTGAGGACTTAGATGTCCCATGTGGGACCCATCAAAGATGGTTCATGTTAGAGGTGGCAGGAGGAGCTGACTCGGCGCTCCGCAATCAGTTTCACATAGAATGCTGTTTCAGATGGCCAAACTCTCTTTTGCCAAGTTGCCCAAGCGGGGTCCGTGGGCAGCTGGAGTGCCAAAGGTCCGAACTCGCTTTCACCTCCCTTGAAGCGGAAACCACAGGATGCAGGACATGCTGTTTTGTCCAGGCCCCATGGCTCGACGAGGCAAGTAATTCACGGGACCCTTGATTTGTTGATGCAGTTGCTTTTGAGGGCTCTTTCGGCACCGAAAGGTTTGTTTTCACCCGAACATCTCATATAATTCATTCATTCACTCACTCACTCACCCATTCACTCACTCACTCACTCACTCACTCCCTCACTCACTCACTCACTCCCTCCCTCCCCTCACTCCCTCCCTCCCACTCACTCCCTCCCTCACTCACTCACTCAGTCATTCATTCATTCCTTCCTTCCTTCATTCATTCATTCATTCATTCATTCATTCATTCATTCATTCATTCATTCGTGTGCTCCCAACCTCTCAGGCACCTCCACCTCCGAAGCCGTGGATGGACTGTCGGAGTCGGAATTAGACGGTGAGAGCGGCGCGTTGGTGCTAGCTTTGACGCGGCGATGTATGGCAGAGGGGTTGGACGCTGAGCTTCAAGGACCGCGCGCCTTTCAGGGTTTTGCGGGCGCCCGGTTTTGATTGCGTTGTAGACTAGCAATTTCTTTGGTCCAGTTTCCAACAATTGTTTCTGAATTAGCTGAACTCACAGTTACACATGTGTCCCTCACAGAAGAACATCCAAGGACACGAAGGCGCTGGGCTTGCTGGACAAGTACTTGAAGTTGCACAAGCCAGCAAACCCGTACGACCCTTGGTGGCAGTGGAAAAGGCCATGAGCAATGGAAAGGGCTCATGAGATCTTGCCAAGGAATGCGACACAGCATTCTCACATGTTTCAGCTGCATGTTTGCTGCCAGGGATTACGCCACACAAGTCGCTGGGTGGCAGCGACCTTCGAACATAAAGGGCATCAAACGCCCGCTGCCTTTCCAGTCTGAGTATAGCACTGGTTTCAGTATAGTAGACCAATTTATCTTGGCATCTATTTGTCCAAGGCACGTTGAATTGAAGGGTTTTTTCGTTTGAGTTTTGATTGCCTTCAGGACTCTGGAGACCTCCTGGCGCTGTGGTATGCCCTGCGCTGGCGACAGCAGAAGCGCGAGCCCAGCTACAAGGGCAAAGTGGCCGTGGCCACTCGACTTGCAATTTTCGGGCTGCCCCGAAATCGGGCTAAGAATGTGGAACTTGTGGAACCGTACTTTCCTATCATTTAGAGTCTTGAGTTACCATTTGTTTTAGGTTTTATGGGATCATCCATTTTCAACCCACAGTAAAACATGTTGTCACCTCCTGTAGTGATAGTCCTTTGGGGAAACGCACTCAAGCAGGGGGATGGCTCTTGCCGAGCGACAACGTGCGTTAGCTACAATTGACAGCGTGTGCGCAAAACAATATTGTTTTGTTTGGTTTTGCGCTGTCTCTTGACTAATTACGCTTCAATCGGACAGCTGTTGTTGTTGTTGTGTTTCTTAATATTTAGATAATACAAGCGGATCGCACCACAACCAACAAAACCACCAAATGCAACCAACTCTCCTTTGGTGCGCATTGCCTAATCCGATTTGGCGCGCAATCAGGTTGGCTCTCTTTGCCGCTCTATGTGCGCTTTAGTTTCTTCGGAACCGTCGGAAGCCAATAGCTCGGCTCTTGCTTGCCCGAGGTCATCTTCAACAAAGCCCACGTTTCGATTCTGAAGGATTCCGGGCTTTGCGACCTGGGGGTGACCTGCTGGGATGAGAAAACCTTCAGATCGGAGACGGTGCCGGAGGCCGGAGGAGCAACTAGTGATGCTGACCTGTTCCTCTTTTTTGTGTTTTGTCCCGAAAGCTCCATAGCTCTGCCTCCCAACCTCAGGGAGAGTCCCCGCTTTGAGGTCAATCTGGATTGTGCTCTCTGGGATGCCATCCTCCATGTGAGCAAACTGCCGGCTATTGGGAATCGCCTTGCATGGTGAGCACTGGAAACAACAGTGGAGCTAACACGACCCGAAAATGCCGCTTTCACGGTCTCCATCATGGGACCCCCCGACTCCCTCTTGTGTTGGTGTGCTCATGCCGTTCGAAAGCAAACATTCGACTCTTTGCATATGCTTTTTTCTAGTGCTGTTTTCGCATATGGAGCACGCCGCGCCTTTCCTTCGTTTCCAACTTGGATCTTGGATCTTGGGAGCTGGACCCCACATGAAAGAAAGCCTTCACACCTTGGTGCCAGTTCTTGGCGTTGTGGGGTTTTAGGGCTACAAGACTGGTGAACTTCCCTTGTTCCGCTGGTTCTTCGTTCCTGCGGCGGTATTTTGTTCACGCTTGGCAACGTAGCGTATCTCATCTCATTTTTCCCTTTCCATGCCTTTCCAGCATGTCAAGATGCAAAGAGCATGTGTTGGATTTAGTTGACAATCCTGTACATGCGCAGTTGATTTCCTCATTTCAAATGGTTTCTGATTGGTTCATGTTTGTTTTATTGAAGGGATTGGTCAGTGTTCCCTGATCTTTCTGCCAGGTGCAGCGTGACTGGAAGATCTTCAGCGACGCCATGAGCTTCTTGACCGACGGGGCACTTGCTTTGGACACCGTGCTGGTGGAGGAGTGAGAGGGTGGCTCGGGGTGGGCAAATTTGTTTGGCAGCCAGACCCTGATATTATTGCGGAGAAAATCCGAATGGAGTGTGTGTAAACAGTGGAATGTTTTAAGCATGCTGAAACTTTGGTTGGCCCAAGCGCGCGGGGTAGGCAAACGTTATCTGGTTTCTGGGACACCGCATGTGTACAGGTGATTCACGAGTGAGTTAGGCTTGTGCATGTATTTGTGCACATGTTTGTGGAAGCGATGCCAGAAAGTCATCACCGGAAGGTTGCTTTGTTTGGGAAAGCAAAAGTGATGTGAAACAGTCATGTAAGACATAAATAGCTTTGGACATTGTCGGACTATTCCCAGTTCAAGAGTCATGTAAGACATGAATAGCTGGACATTGTCGGACTAGACTGCCACGCTGCCATTAGTGTCTATCTAGTTGTGCCATGGCCATTTCATCCCAGATAGTATGTGAGGACTGTCATTGACGCTTGCTCGCTTGGCGGTTTTACAGCCATACACGATTCCGTGAAGAAAGCAACACCCCTTCAACGAATCATTGTAAGTTGTTGCAACAACAGCTGCATGTGCGTGAAACACTAAAACACGGTTGCACCTGGGCAGGCAAAGGCAACCGAAGACCTATGATCATGTGCTTTAAGGAGCTGATTTTTGGGTTGCGGAGGGAATTTGCAACTTGGCTACCCAATTGAGTACTTTAGATATTCCCTGTGCTCAGACGTAAGCATACCACAACCGTAGAGATCCGCAAGCCACAGGTCCCAACATCCGTGTTTTTCGTGGTCTGTTGGGCTGCAGGTTATATAAGTATTCCGTTTGCAACTTCAGATGGAATCGAAACAGGGGGTCGGGGTCCCTTAAAACTCACTCCCCGAATTTTTAATTTTTAAACAACCTTTTGAGAAGATGCTTGTTCAATGCACTCAGGAAGTGAGAAAATCAGCTTTCAAAAAGCAAATGATGCCTTGTGGGGCTCCATTTGGGGCGAGGACTGCGCAGAGACGATGCCACCGGCTGCAGAGCCAACGTGGGATGCCAAGTATAAGCGCTGCAGCGCTGGGGGGGACTGGTGCCACCAAGATGTCATGATGAAGCTGGAAGAGTGGGAGGACGAACATGGATGGAATTCAGAAAGATTGATATATTTGCGGCTCTTATTTTTTTCAGCTAGGATTTAGCTGAGGAGGGAGGTGGCATGCCGTGCCAGCTCTGAAGCAATCCACTATTTTGCCAAACAGATAGGTTTGGTCATACGTTGGCGCTGAACACAGGACACGGATGGTGTAAGCCAACCCTTATTTGATTCTAACAGAGTTATGTGCTTCGTGCAGGGGTTATTTGGGGCCGGAGGACAAGTGAGCAGCACCCAAAGAGCTCATTGGCCAAGGTGGTAGTTGGTTCTACTGCCCGTTTTTTGATTTATGGAGGTTATAAGAAGTTGTTGTTTGTATAAACCTTGATTCATAACCATGTTGGTAGAACCAACAGTCAATGGCTGTTGGGCACTGCTCAAGTGACCTGATTCCCAAGTCCCCAAACGACGCCGGCCCTGAGGAGCGTTACAAATGTCGCGACGGCAGCGACGTGGTGGCCTTTCACATCCTTTGGCCTGCTGGCAAGGATCCTGAGAAGAACCTCGCCCTCAGCGTCGTTGCCTGTAGTTCTCGGATTGTGTCACATGCGTCACTTTCTCGCGGATGGTTTGCGCTTGCCAAGTCACATGTATACAATATGTGACAAATTACATAGTCACATATTGCACGCATTTGCATGTATGTGTGTGTGTGTTATGGTGTACTTAGTATGTGCACAGTCACACATAGTTCTTTTGTTTGAACTAGGCTTCAGAAACTTGGCAGACATCTTCGTTTTAGCTCGTCATTCATCATGCGAACAATTATCATTGTTCAAGGGTTCGCGCCTGTTCAAAGGACCTCTTTTCTTTGGGGGGGTCCGAGGACTATGAACATCCCAGACTTGTTTGGATGACGAGTTGTTGCTTTTTCCCTTTGTCCATGGGTCACATATTGACTACACGTGGAAGCCAAAGGCCATCAGACTCCGCAAGACCGGCAAGACTTAGCGCGCTGAGCATTGGATGTTTCCCCTTACGTCACAGTCAAAAGCTTCTGGCTCTGGGAAGCATTTGCGTCGAGGAAAGTGGATGTGGTGAGCGGTGGAATGCTGGCAGATACTACCAGTGCATCCGCTTACAAGAATCGACCCGTCTTCATCGATGAGGGCTATGTGACCTGCCTGCATGGCTCTTCCTGAGCGCCAGTTTGGACGCATCATTCTTCCTTTTCTCCCATGGGCCGGGAGCCTCGCAGACCAACCGAAGCTTTTCCGGAGACCCTGTTCTCATCTGAAGTTGCCAGAAGCCGGACGTCTGAGGTGTGGAGCCACCATCACCGGGTTTTCTGGATGTTCCATGAGATTCATCACAAGTACGAAGAGTTCTTCAAGGCACGGCTTCGAAAGGGAAAGCGGGAAGCCAAGCTTTCAAGGTCACCAGTTTATGGTTCCTAGGCCTAGAAGGGAAGCTGTGGGTTTGACTGGACTCAGTTGATCTCATTTCACGGCAATTGCGTGGCACGATTAATGGTGAGGATCGACAAGGCAGGCAGTCAGACGAAGATTGCAAGATTGGCTGGCGAGATAAGGGTGTTGGAAGGTGCTGCTGAGCTCGGCAACTGGCGCAGCTCTGCCGTGTCAATCAGACAAGAGTCTGATGTTTAGATCGGACAGGATCAGCTCGACTTCGCCCAGTTGATCAAGAAGACGGATCATCCTATGTTCCAACGCGACCTTTGGATCGAGGAGCCTTGGAGAACAGGTGTCTCATGTTCCCTCATTTGGTGGTATGAAATGAGCAATACACGAGCCAAGCCAACATGCCATGATTGCCAGTGTCCAGTGACCTGAAGACCGCGACATGTCGTTATTAAGTTGTTGTTTCTCGTCTCAGCGTCTTCCGCAGCCTTCTATTACTCGGCATGAAAGCATCAACAAGCAACAACCAGCTTTCCGCTCCCCAAAGACAGAAGCTTGTATGCGTGCTTTTTCAGGGTGCCCCTTTTTGGGTGGCAAAGGAAAACCACCAACACCCCCGAAGCCCGCGATTCCGGAGGGGTTCAACTCCCAAAAGACGAGCCATTCTATTGATTCCCCATTCTTTTTAACCATCGTTCTTTTCCATTGTCCCTTGGATTCTTGAGGTTTCGTAGAAAAAAGGATCCCTAGAAAGAATGGGGAAGGTACCCTAGAGCCATAGGAGTTCAAGGGCGAGAACGAGAAGTTCCCGGGGCCCCACTGGAAGGGCGATACGGAGTTCGACTGGTACGTGCAGGCCATCACCCTTCGCCTCACAAAGGTGACGGAGCCATTCTCCTTCCAGGAGAACGGAAGAGTGAACCACCTGGAGTCAACAAACTGACCCTTAAACAATGGGGTCATTTCCCCCAAAAAATGGGGTCATTGACCCATTTGTGAAGGGTCATGGAGACTCCAGGCAGAGCCTTTGTTCATTTTGGTTGATCTCGGATTGTTTGGTTTTGTGTTGCTTCTTCCCTTGGGCCATTGGGGGGTGTCTCTTTAAACTCAAGCAACGTGAATGATGGGTATTCTGCATGTTCGGGCCGTTGGGCAAGCGCGCGGCCGGGAAGCAGTCGTTTGAGCAAATGCGGGACTTTTATTTCTCCGTGATCCTTACACCGGATTTCTTAGCTCAAAAGAGGGTGTGGATTCAAGAGATGAATATCAATAGATATTTCAAGACCGAATGAGTTTTCGCCAGGAATGGACCTGAGGGGCATGTGTGGGAAGCTTGCGTCTCTCTGGGATGTCATTGGCAAGGGTGAGTTGAGGCATCGCATTTAAGTGACGCCCCATCACTCGGTGGCTAGGAGTCAGATGTTTTCTGCAAGGGAAACCAGCAGAACCCTATGCAAGGGCTTGACCTTTGTTTACCAATTGAAAAGAGTTGTTGTTGTTTTTTGCGGATCCAGGCTCCCACTCAAAGAAGCCAGAATACTTCAGGAAGTACAGGAAGCTGGCCAACACCCAAAACTGTGGAATCTCCTACTTAGAAACCCATGGTTTCCATCAGTCCCCAACGCAGGGTTTCTTCAACGAATCCCCGGGTGCGTTTCCATCCAACATCTTTGGGCTGGCAGGAAGCCTGGAAGTCATGGTGGGGCGGCCGCAAAAAGGAGAAAGAAGGCCACCTGGACGGCCGCCCTTTTTGGGGTTGGTTTAAGGGAAACTCAAAGGACGCAACTCATTTTGGGGCTCCCCTTCTTGTGAGACAAACCCATTTTTTTGGAATATAGGACCAAAGCGGTGGGTCTTGGCACTTGGGCGCCACTGGGGAGAACAGAATGGCTTTGGGTGCGCAAGAGCATCAGTCATCGAGAATACTGATGCAACGAGAAGAATTCTCCCCAAGCCACGTGCCAACGGAGACTCTGAGAGCTCCGAGGTTTCTACTTCGATTTCGCGGCGCAGCATAATCAGATGCTCGGCCGCCGGAAGTCGGCGCCTTGTTTTTCTCCGTTTTTTGGTCGCTTTTGGTTCGATTTTCAAGCCCTGGAAACGGAGAGCCTCTCGTTTTGGGCTGAGGATGTACCAGGCCTACGTGGCACAGGACTGGGGGGAAGTGATCCGCTTCATGGAGGACCAGCTGAAGCCGATGGCCCTGGACTCTTGGCTGCGGCAAGTGGCGAGCGGCTGCTAAGAGGCTGAGGCGAGTGCTCAGACATGGAAATTTCGCTGCAAATGATCTGCATGGGTTGCTTGTAGCAACGGAGGAAGAGGGAGGGGCGTAAATTACCATGACTATTAAAGCGATGGGGGGCACCCAGAACCTGGAGCGCAGACGGCTTTTGGGTATGTTTGCTGTTCGGGGTGGCCTTGTTTGGGGCTGATTTTACAGACGAGAACACAAGGAAAACCACCCATTTTGTGGGTATGTGGTTGTACAGCTAAAGACAACAGGAAGCTCCACCCATTCTGGGTCCATTGTGAGAGGAGCGAACCTTGCGGCTGATAGGAGCGGCTTGGGGACCACAACTTCCGGAACGCGGTGCGCTTCGCCTGCGACGCCCTAGTGCAAAACGGGGACGAACTGGCAGGCTCGGGTTAGGGTGCTCGGGTGAGTGGCCTCCCACACACCTGGGGTCTCCAAGACAATACTCTATGGTTTGTTTGTGAACTAAGTGTGAAACAGAAACAGAACTTCTTCTTCTTTTGAGCAACCCGGATGTGGTCCAGCATGCCGTGCTGTACAGTTGGTAGAGGGCAGATCAACAGCTAGCTTGTTCGAGACCTAATCCCCAATTCTTGGCGGATGGCGGATTAATTATGCAGTTTACGGATTGATGATGCAGCTTGCGGATTGCAGAGTCGGGTTGATACTCCAGCACTACTACAATTTGCAGCGCGGATTATGGATAAAGAAGATTACCAACCAGAGCAGGGATTACGCGGATTACTTGTGATTCCCCCCGGGATTTCGAACTGGCTAGAATAGCGTTGATCTATCCCGAGTCCCGGCTGTTGATTTCGTGCACCCACAGTACGCCCCTGTTGATCCCCGAAGTGGGCGGAGTTAAACTGGGGGCTGGGGGGGGGGGGGAAATTTTGCTAAGTAACTATAGCCTGTGTGCATGAGGAAGGATCAAAGCAAGTTCTTGAACCAATTTTACAAATTATGGCGACCAAAGGGCCCTGCGCTTCGCCCCTGAAGAAGGGCTCTTTCTCGGTGATTTGACCATTATGATTACAGTATGCTTCAACTCGAATAAAAACTGACGGGGGATTCTTCTCCCAAATGGCTTTGGGCCACATACATCTTCATACACAATTATGTCCATTAAACCCAACCCCTGGCAGGTCCCGTGCTGGATGCGTTCCGCGCCTCGGATCTATTCTGGCGCCACCAATTGGAACTGCCACAAAGAGCACAGTGAAATTCTTCCACTGGGTGGTAAATGGAGGTTTGGAAAGATAGCACTCTCCATCATTCCATCATGATTTTTCCGTCAGGCACGTGGGTCGGATTAGTGGCACTCAATCTATCTCATTCTCCCAGACCCAAACAACCGACCAGCTTTGGGCCAACTGCTTGTTGACACATGCCTGAAGACTGAACCACTACGTTAAGATAATGATCTCCCGGTTTCCCTTCAAAGGAGCAGCCATGGCAACTGGCAGCTTTAATGGTGATTTCACAGGATGCATTTTGTGATACCAATGCCAAATGACTGCTTTGCCACAGAGAGGATTCAGGATTCCCTGGGGCAGAAATTGGGTCACAAAGCAACTGACTATCCACAACCATGGCAGCACACACGTGTAGGGCACATGCTGGTTACCAAAAAGCGTAGTTGTTTTTTCCCGTTTCTTGCGCCTTGTCCAACTTCGTGTTCACAAACTGCAAAAGCAATAGCCACATGGAGGTGCGGTTTCTCTATGGGCGTTGGACACCCCTCGCCTGCCTCGCGCTCCGAGGCAAAGGCATGGCGGCGCTGCAGTACGACGGAGCCCGCGGCGCGGAGTTGGTCAATGGCGCGGCCTATGCCGATGAGCTGCTGAGGCTGTACTGCGCATAGCGTAGCGTCGGATCCGGACCGTTACAACTGGACTCCAAAAAGAATGTGTTCCTTTAAGACCAACACGCAGAGGGCACCCGTAAAAAGCAAGCACACACAGACACACATGCGCACGCACACGAACACACTCACACCCACGCGCACAGACACAGAACACAAAAAAAAGTAGATCGCTCGAATGACGCACTCCGCCCATCATGTCCGGGTCGTATTCCGTAGGGCTTGTGCCCAACGCAAAGCGTGATGCGCCCATGGTTCTGGGAATGCATAAATATTGTTCGTTACTTAGACATTTTACCTTCCATCATATTGGATTCCCACCATTATCACCTAGAAGTTTCATTCACAGAAAGCCGTCAATGCAGCGAGTGGGGTTCCAGCCTGAGACGTGGTCCAAGGGATTTGGCGCAGAGGTTTGCCCATGGCAGTGCTCGCCAGCGCCAGGGAGCCGTTTTCCGGGCTTTGGAGCCGGACAGCTGGATCTCGCTGGGGGAGAGGCAGTTTACGCAAAAGGAAGGGCTTCCTTGGAGTCGTGTGGGTCTACAGATGCCAACATTGTGCTTCTCTGAGGCCCTTTGGGCAGATGCTCTTTTGGCAAATTGAGGAATACTAATGCAAGTTGAAGCTTTGATTTCATGGGAGATCCAGCCAGTTGCCTTTTGTACAGGCCTGCATAGGGGATGGATTGATTTGCTCGGCGCTGCGGCAGAAGGGTGCCCAAAGAAGCCGTCCCTTAGGGACTCGGCTGACCGGCGCGATCGAAGCAAGCCGAGAGAAAAAAGTTTGGACCGCAGCGTCGGGGTCAACACATGAAGCACAACGCAAGGAGCTGAGGAGAAAGTATCTCGGCAAAACGTCTCAGTCTTTTGGCCATCGATCATCTATGAACAAATGTGTGTTTCCTGCGGACCTCAAAGACTGATGGCTTGACAGTTTTAGAACCACTTTCACGGATCAGCAAGTTGAGCCATCAGGGAGTAGAAGGTGAGGGTATGAAGGTGGAAGCTTGTTTGATTGCCAGGAGCCAGAGACACCGTGCGACGCCCAGATGGCAGCAGCGCTGAGCCAATTTCGGCAGCTGCCCATGGTCGATTCACTTCCTTGTCTTTCACTGTTGCCCAGAGAGTCGATCCATAGATTGGGAAGCACATCCAGGGGGCTCTCCATGTTAACGCGTACAGTTCTATACCACAAGCCCAGATTGCCCACCAGGGCTGCCTTCTTTGCTCAATCATGGTTCATGGTGGGCCTACTTGCAACATTCAGGAAAATACTGTACCAAGTGCTAGTGTGGGTGGACGAAATCCTGCACCAGCTGAAAAGCATGGGACACCATTGTTTGTTGAGACTTCTTCCTCGCTAGCCGAACACCATCCCATACGTAACCCTCTGGTATGTACAGAGGGATCATCAGAAACCAGGGTTTCTTAGGTGAAACCAGGGTTTCTTAGGCGACAGGATTTCGTCCATCCACAGCATCTCCTTCCATCGCCACCCTGAGGCCGCAGCCCGTATCTGCAACACAGTCGCAGCCGGCGCGGCGTGGGCATCGAATCCGTTCTTCGTCGGTTTTGGGCCCCTTGGACGGTTTCCGTGGAAGGACCCCGACAACCTGACGCGTTTTTGTTGCATTCCCTTGTGCCTTTAAAAGTTAGCCCTTAGCAACCACGGAAGGCCAACATAGGACTTGTGTGTGTGTCTTTGTTTGCCAGTTGTGTATTACAACACATCCACCAGACCTGCGTAACTTCTACCATTGCAATACATTAGATCATCAGGGATCCGAAGAGAGCACCTCCCGTGGCTATTTTGTGTAGATGTTCCTAGATGCTCATCCCCTCCAAGCTGGTTCTAACCTGTTGCGTCGGCGAAATTTTCACTTGTTGCTGGTTCTGGGCGG